GAGCGAAACATGTTTCAAAAACATTGACATTGCAGCACAATGCTGCCAATTAAATCTGTCATTTTATTTATTATAAATAGATAAATTATTATAAATTATTACTTAAAATTATTTGAACTCAGCATTTTAAAGGGATTTAATTGAAGCAATAAATATTATCGATTTTCGCTTTAGCTCGTTGGCACTAATTTAAATACATAATAAGTGCTTTCTGGCTTGACCCAATCTAGATGAGCCATAAATAAAAATGCAAATGGCTTTGAATGAAGCGATTTGTTTTACTTTGAGCTGGTTGGTTCAACGACTGCTCTAAACTGGGCTCGACAAAGGACTCTGCTGACTGTTTCATTAATGGCTTCCTTCATTATGCCGAGCGCATCAATTACATTTTTTTATGCCTACTTTTGAGCACACGACAAAGCAGGCCACAATTTCAAGCTGAAAAGGGCGCAAATCAAACAACAACAAAAAATGAACGAAAAATGAGCAAAAATGAAAACTTTTCCGAAACTCATTCTTTCCAGATATGCGAACTTATTGATTGCTCTGGCAATTTCTGTCAGCCGCCGCCAAACAAACAACAAAAAAAAAAAAACTAAACAAAACTGCAACCAAAAAAAATAATATTAATAAATAAAAAGATAAAAAGGAAAATCGCTGCACGTGAAAGCTGTGTTGAGCCCTGTGTTTGGCAGCGGAAGTTAAACACAGATTGCCAATAGCTAAACAAAAACAAAAAGTGGCTACGTCCTGTGTGTGTGTGTGTGTGTGTGTGTGTGTGTGGGCGGTGGGCGTGTGTGTGTTGTCTGTTACTGACCCCGTCTAGTTGACTGGCTTAGAGGCTGGCATTTGCTGCGTTTAATATTGGTAAATGCTCTTTTTTTTTTGCCGTGCACTTTGCATAACAACAAAAAATGTGGAATTTATATAGAGAACTGTGCTCGACTAGCAAATACCCCGTTGGCAAAACTAGGAAATACCTCCTTTAGTCGATGCAACTTTGCTGTACACCTAAACGAAAGAATTAAGGAACTGCTTACAAAATTAGGAACAAAAGTTTGGCCGCAGTTTCGCAAGCAATGAGTGCGAGGTCAAGTAGAAGTTGGCGCACTGTTATTGCGGTTGGTTTAAGCCAAGTTAGTTGGCCAGCTGGGCATGTCAATGTCAGTTGGGCAGCCAAGCATAAGCAGACAGTTCACTTGGTCAATGCTTCCTTATTAAAACTGTCTGCAGAAACCGACAGACGCCAAACGATAGTCGACAGTTTGTGGTTAGACAATGGCACCTGCCACATCTGCTGCTGCTGCTGCATTGTGCAGCATCATAGATAGAGAGAGAGAGAGAGAAATAGAGATACAGAGTGAGTGAAATGGTTGTTATCTAGTTTTCATTTTCCACTTGATGGAGTGCAAATTTATGGCAACGCTCTGTGCAACGAGCCATACATTATTAAATTATAAACATTTTTGTGGTTGCAAAATGTTTTGTTAATGGGCAGAACATGTTCAGCAGATAATGTTAATTATGTTGCCTCACTGCTCATTTATTGAGTCATTTACTCACATTTTGAAATTCGTTTGGTTGCATTCTATTTCCCCCCTGCCCAAAATGGACACACGAATCTTTTATGCAATTACACAAATTGTCGCCAACATTTATGCTCATGAATTTCGCATCACATCGCATTGCCATACATAATTTATTTTCTCAACTACCGCCATTATGACATCAAGTTGAAAGACGTGCTTCAAAACGTTTTTCCTGCACTACCCGGTGAAAAAAAAAACAAAAAATGAAATGAGAAAAAGAGACGCTTACCTCATTTGGCAGTCTCTTGCTCTGTTTTTGGCCAAGTGGGCATTTGTCGCCAAGTTGAAATGGCTTTTAATAAAATACAATTTCTGTTTGCTTTCGTCTTGGCCCACATTCCACGAATGCTCAGCAATTCTCAAAATGAACATTTTATAGTCATTAAGTGCCATCAAAAGACGCACAAGCACAAACTTGCTGAACTTGTTGACAAATCTCATAGGTACACTGCGAATTTCAATAAACTGTTGGCTTAGAAACAAACAGCAACCATCTGACTGACCAGCACACACTCGCACACACACACACACAGACTTGTGTGTGTACAGGGAAGGGACATCAAGCAATCAAATGTTTGTGGCACTTTAATCAATGCCTGGTTAGGGCAAATGCGACCACAAAGGCTCCAGCCAGCAGTTCATCCATAAACACAATTCTACACTCATGAGTCTTCAGACGTGTGTGTGGGTGAGTGTGTGTGTGAGTGTGTGCTTGTGTGTGAGTGTGTGCTTGTGTGTGTGTGTGTTTGTGTGTGTGTACCAGAGATTTCAATAAAGCCATCGAGAGAGGCTCGAGTGCCGACAACAAGGGCCGGCCGAAAAGAACAAAAAACTATTAGAGTAAGTGGAAATGGGCGCATTAGGGCGTGAGACCCTACTTGGACGGGGTTAAGGGTTGAAGTGGGCTGGGTTGGGATGATATCCAATCCATTCGTTGCTTGATCGCGTCGCCCTTGAGCAGTAGTCAGCATATGTGCGCAGCAGTTGCCAATGTGAACCTTTTATATGCTTTTAATTTCCATAAAAATTGAGTAATGAAATATTTGAAATTGTAAAAACATGAACTGATTTCTGTACCCGATGCCTTTTTCAATTTTTCTTTGTGTTTTCATGCGTTTTCGATTTTCAATTTCCAATTTTCGTTAATATTTTTTTAAATTTTCACTTTGCATAAGCGTTGCAGCATTTTTTGTGTGCAGCTGTCGCTGTTCTCAGGCAACTCGAAGCAAAAGCCCGTCATACACGCGGCGTATGCGTGATATGCAAATATCCGTATTTCCGGGCGGAAATCTCGTTTGCAGCGTTACGCCCATTGGGCATTACGTGTGACTTGGGAGTGCTTGGGATTGCTTGGGTGTGTGGGTATTCCCCCGCGTGACTCAGCAGTCGTCCTGATCCATTCATACACTAAGCACAAGTCATCATTGCTGACTCGAGTGGACTCCACTGGGCTTTTGCCTGCTTCATTAATTGCATTAGCAGTTTGACTCCCAAGTGCAATTAATTACTTGCTCAAGGCGTCGATGTTAGGCCCGTTCTTCTTCGCTTGGACTCGGACTCGGACTTGGACTTGGACTTGGTTTTTGGCTGGGGCTTGGGCTTAGGTTTGCAGGATGTGGAAACTGAAGTTTGTGGACATTAGCATCAAAAACAGGCTTTATCAATTCCGAGTAGATGGCACAAATATAATTAATGGCGCACAGTAACTGGTTACTGGTGTCTTTTGTCTATGACAAATGATAATGATGCGACCAACAACACTAATGAACCGCACAGAAATGAGGTTTGGCCCATCCCCAACAGCAGCCGAACTGGCAAATTTAACGGAAATTGTGCATATAGGCTGCTGTTTAGTCGGATATAAAGCTAACTAAGTGCCGCATTATAGCATCCGGTCTAGACTTTAGTATCACGCTAAAATTCTAACGCTTTTTTTTTGTGCACATGCTGTGCAACTGGCAGGCGCCTAAGTAGCCAAAATGAGCAGCCGGCAAATGAGATACAAAAAGTATCTATATATATATATATATATGAATAGAAGAACATCAGAGTGCGGCAGGCGTGCGACATGTGCCTCGAGGTGTGTGTTCGCTTGAATATGCCTGTTATTATTCCCCATTTGCAGTTGGCAGTAGAACGTTTAATCTGCCATAAGCACATGCCTCAGTATTTATGGGCATGCATATGTGAGTGTGTCAGCATCGCTGTGTCTGTGTGACTCGACAGGAGAGCGTTTTGGCTAAGCTGATGTGATTCTTTTTTGTCCATATTGAACAGGACTCGGTTAATAATTGGAAGGCCTGTTAATACGTTTTTTTCTTTTGGGGTTAAAGTTAAGGCTTGGTTTTTTCACTTTAAGCGGAAACCTTCACTTTGATTTTCGAAATTCATTATTCATAATGTTATCTTGAAAGTATAGAAACCCATTTTTAACTTGAAGAAGCCTTAGATTTCGTCTGAAAAAATCCTTTTGTGCTAAGAAGCAAAAAAAAAAAACTATGCGTATGCAAAAAATCCAATTACTTTTTTTCTCCCATTTTGTGAGTATCGATTCCGGGAATAAGTTGCCTTTATGATGGCTGAATTTCCTGAATAGGTAGCTAAGCCCTTGAAAGCAAGCCAGCATATTTAAATTGTGTCGTAATGCTGTTAGCCATTAAATTAAGTATTTCGCTTTAAATAACTATCCTTGCAAGGGTATATTCGTATATATATATATACAACAGCAAATCCGATTATAAAAAGGCTATGTAATATATAAAAGGGACATAAATGTGAAGCTTGTTTTATTTTATTTTTGCCTCTCATATTTATTTGACAATTTTCGAATTTATTGTTAGACTCGAACACATACTTCAAGGCACACTTTAGCCACTCAGACCCAACAGATACCACTAAAGTCCCCACTGTGTGTGCCCCATGTGCGAGCACAATAAAAATGCATAGCATCGCTCCTGGCACTGTGACCAAGGAGTTTAAGCTTCCGGTGGAGGGGCGAACTCAAACAGGTTTCGATTATCGAGTGGTAAAAAGGCAAAAATAATAAAACTGGCGCCGGCTGCAAATTTAATGCGCTTACGATAAATTTTCATTAGGTGTGCGAATCCGATTTTGACATATCTCTGTGACGGGGAATCTGCAATCAGGAAACACAAAGAAAGCACACACAATTTGAATGGAGTGTGTCCTTTGAACATAGCGTCACGTGTCCTGTATGCTGTTGTTGTTGTTGTTGTGGATATTATTGTTATTTATGATTTAATGCGCTCGTAAAATGCAGGACAGGTCACAGCCAAGGCTGGCTGCCAGCAGGACACACACACACACACACGCACACAGACACACACACTTTTGGTCGCTTAGTAGGTCAAAGGGATTTAGTTACTTTTTTCTGGTTGTGCGTCGTCTTACCTGACGTATACTTAATCACCAAAGCTGCGAATCACTCGGCTGGCTGGTTGCTAACTGAAACTGGAGGCGCCGCCAAAGACGAAAGGTCAACTACTCGTTGGCAAGTGAGATTGATTAAGCGACTGATTTATTGTTACTGGCATACACGCTAACACGCATATATATTTTTAGAGTGGTATTCTAGTCTAGCACTGCGCACAAATACCAAATACCAAATAACAAATGGCAATTCAAAACGCTTATCCGCCACCTAGTCTGATTTGCCAGCCTTTTTTTTTTTGTATTTTTATTTTTTTTTATTGTGCTTCACAGTGTGTTTGTTGTTTGCAGTGGGTGCAGGAGGCAAGAACGAAACGCGCGCGTTGCGTGCAAGTTGGGAACTGTTTGGTTGCCCGCACTGCGTGTTGCTTTTATAAAGCCGCCAAACTGATTGCTGCACAGCATTCAAAACACAACATGTTCGATGGCGTGCTTACAACGAAAACAAAACTTCCAGCAGGAATCGCAGCACGAGCGCCAAGCAGGGGCAACGCCAATTCGCTTTTATGGCACAGCAGCAAATGCCTGACTCGTTCTTAGCCAGGACTCGCACCGAAAGCTTGGGCCTTCACTTCGAATTGACGATGTCTCCTCGCTGGAAATGTTTGCCTGGAACATGTTCGAAGGACTGCTACCAATCGCATTGCCAACTGACCCTCTCCCCCTCTCCCACTCCATCTACCTCTCCAGTTCTCGGATATTTCAATTTGTGCATGTTGCATTGTATTTCTCGAGGCTGTCTCTGATATTGAACGCTTATTATAAAGCAGTTAAGGGAATAATTTTTAATCCTATATAAAGTTTAAATATTTAAATTTAAATTTAAATTAAAGTTCGTTCTTGTCGTTAAATTATTGCCAAAATTAACTATTGTTTTTTTTATTATTTATATATCACAACTATAAATTCAAAGCTATTTTGAGTCTTCTCATAAATCGTTCACTTTTTGTTTTATTTATATTTATTTATGTATTATCAAACAATCGAAGCTAGTTGTATTTATTTAATAATTATTTAAGTATGTTCAATCAAAGAAAAGTCTCAGTTATTAATGCAAAAACCGGATTCATAGCTGCGGGTAATTTGAACCAACCTGCCACTCAAATCGAAATACATCAATTCGCAATTTAAGCTGGCAGGCCTGCTGCTCCAGTTATCCTTCATGTGTGTAGCCCGACAACAAGTCGATGATGCTCTTCACCAGGCATAGCACTGCCGAATATTGTTCGAGTAACCGCAATCGAATCGAATAACCAATAAAAAAATTGTAATCTTACAATTAGGTATTGCTGTCAGAGTGGCTTCCTCTGCTGAGCACCTGTCATAGGGGTTGAGGTTCGAGTGGTAGACAGAAATTCATTACATTGTTTGCCGCTTTTGTCAATATTGACATGCTGGCAGCACTTACAAATGTTAATTATCCGCAAAGTGGGTCCACAATCAACAATGGCAAACCAAACAAAAGCATCGCAAATAATCCAATAATTTGTAACAAGCTGAGATTTCAATTGATATATGCCGAATTCTTTTGAATCGGTTAATGTTGCATTTTCAACGACAGTCAGTGGCATACGTTCAATTTAAAGTGTTGACAGCGTTTTGCACTTTGCATACCCAAAATGGGCAGCCAGGACGCATTCAGCTGCCCAATCTAGCCGGTTTCCGTTTTACGTCCACAACTTTCGGTTAACAACAGCTTTCATTAACCTGACTCGTCCAGACACGCCCGATGTCAGGCAACTGTCTATGCAAGAGCGTTAACTGGTTTTCCTCGAACTCACACTCACACTCACACTCATAGCTTGTCAATTTTCTTTTTGTTTTCATGCCCTGTAGCCTTTTACTGGTTAAATGGAGGTTGCCAAAGCCCTGTACAAGGATTTGCACACCTATATGCTTGACACACATTAAAGGTCGAGAAAAAATAATCACCTGGCATCAAGGGCACATTGCTGAATCCTAAACTGATTCAAACACACTCTACAGTTAGATTGTAGTTCTTAACTTGAACTTGCAATTTCTTATGTAAGATTTTCCATTGAAGTACAAAAAATCTCGTATTCAATTAGCAAATATGTAATATGAATATCCGATTTCTGTCAGTGTTTCGTAAACGATGCTAATTGGAAATCTCTAGTTTGTAAAAATGGGTATGGAGAAGTCGGCTTAGCTGTTGTTGGCGGATATGCTTTCTTCATCAAACCCTTTTTATCAATTTTTAATGCAAAGAGGGTAAACAGAGTATCCTATCAGTCCAGCACTCGCAACTTCAACTTTTTGACTCGTTTTTTTGTGTGTTTTTGTTGTTTATTTTAATGATTCTTTTACGTTGCTGCAGTGAAGCGTTCACGTATAGCAACAGGAACCCCAACACGTATTTTATTATCATTTTTGCGGTAGTTTTACAGTAAATGTGTGTATATATCTGTGTCAATGTGAGTGGGGTTATGTCTGTTATCTGCTGTCGGGCACAAAAAGTTTTGGGCATGTCGGTCCTCAGTGCGTATTTCAATTTACTTTCTCCACTTTTTTTTTAATGTTTGTTCATGTTCTGTGAACTGTGCCTGACATTGAACAGCATACAAAAAATGGTAATTCTGAATACTGAGCAGCAAACGGATCTCGATTCATTAAATAAGCTTGTTGACAACGAAACTCTTTTTTTTTTTTTTAATTTCTTGGTCAGTTGAAGGATTCGGTTGTAGTCAAATATGAAATGTGATAAATGTGATATAAAACGCTGGCGGGCAACTTTTCAAATTAAATGCCAATTGGTATATGCAAGCAAATCTCTAAAAAGTATTCTGCCATGACAACCAATAGCTATTAAAAGGAACTGCTCTCCACACACACACACACACACACACACACACACACACACACTCACACACACACTCACAGAAACACATCTACGCATAACAAACTTAACTGGCACTCATTGCAATGTAAACGCAAATGTGCGCATGACATAATTCCTTAATTACCAAAGTTGTCATATGCACCTGAAAGCCAAAAGGAACCATTCCCCACCGCCTTCTTCATTTGCTCCGTATCCTTGCTCTGTATCCTTGTGGCTGCTGCTACTGCTGTTACTGCTGCAAAATTGCAAAATGAAACTGACAAGTGGACAATTGCTTCCAGCTCCAGTTCGAAATGAAAGCAAAAACCAACACAAGCCTGATGAATAGATACGCACAGCAATAGGGATGCCTTATCCTAGTCTTGGCTGCTCCTTGTGTGTCCATTTAACATGTATCTGAGACAGCAATTAGCACACTTGCCATATTTCCGATTATTGGTTTGATATTTGCTGCAATATCTTCAATATCTTCTCATATACGCATTTCATCGGCAGATTCAGTTTGTTGCTCTCAGGTATTATTGCCGAAAAACTGTTTACTGAAGTCCTGTATATATATGCCATATCTCACATAATTAACAATTTCAAAATTCATATTGACTAGCATTTTCAATGATTTTATCTTTTGTGCGCTGACAACCCAATTTTCCACTTGATCTAACAATGAAGAGCAAGGCGAATGAATTTTATAAAAAGCAGCTTCAGATCAATATTTTTTAAGCAATTAATGAAAACAACAACTTTTCCAATATTCTTAGCAATTAGCCAACTTGCAGATACTTGCAATATTGCCATTTATTCCGTTGATAATACTTACCTTATGTTATACAAATTTGATACAATATTATGGCGTATGATTAATATCTTAGAGACTGGTAAAATCAGATTGCTGTGCAATATAACATAATTAGCGTATTTATAATTCATTTCAACTACCATTTTTAATGACTTATTTTTTGCGCTGACAACCCAATTTTCCAGTTGACTTAGCAATGAACAACATGGCGTATAATTATTTTTAAAAACTGCTCAAGCTTAAAATTATTTTAGGCTGCTAATGAAATTAAAAGCTTTACCATTTTTTATTTTAACAAAAATCTGATTGGCTTTAATAAGTAATTTGTTCAATAGTAATGATAAGGCGCCTCAAAATTTCCTCGAATTTCCCTGAGGTATTTCTATTAATGTTATCTACAACTGATACTGGAGCTGCGAGACGAGAGACGAGAGACTGACTGAGGCTGACTGAGGCTGACAGCAGCAAACAGTGTTTGCCAATTTGGCTAAATTCTTGGCAATGACAAATGCAGCAGCGGCATCATTATAGTTCTTGTAATGGCCACATCTGCTCTATTTTCCCCCTGAGGGTGCCGGGACTATCTTTGAAGTAGTCGATACGTAGTCTGCCTTTGGCATGCATCCACCTTGAGACGTGGAAATTTCATACTTGCTGCTGTGTGCAGCGCGTTGCGTTTCCTTCCGTTTCCGTTTTCGTTTGCCGTTGCGGTCTTGTGCCGGCATTTCAATTTCAATTTGCTGACGGAAATCGTGAAACGCAAAACGCAAAAAGCTCTCGTTGCCACTAACAACACACACACACACACACACAGGGAAGTTTGACGCAAATTTTCTCTGTACTTCGTTGATGCTGCCACACCCCGCTCCCATAGGCCGCAGCGCAGTGCCACCAATTAGTGTCGTTTGGTCTGCCACAGCAGATGGCAAGCGGCACGTTAGACAGGTGACCTTCGAGCCAACTGTCGAAAGTGTAACACAATCACACAAAATGTCACAACAAGCAACAAGCAAATTTAATTAAAATGTTTGATACGTGCGTAAATCCATACAAATTATTTTTCACTTGAATGCTGCAATTGTTGCTGCACCTGATGCAATATCAATTATGTTTTTAATCATTTTATAATTTTTGTTGATTTTCGCACACTTCAGCTGCCCAGCTTACTGTATAGAATAAATTGGTTTTTAACCAAACGAAGGTTACTTTTCATTTTATTTTTAAATATATCATTTTTCCCTCATTATAACCTTGCGCACAATAATATTGCATTAAATTATGAACGCATTAAAGGGATATGTATTTTAGAGACAGGCAGTGATACAATATGACTATATATAGAAGAAGATTTAGCAGTAGGATAAATACAATTTCCTTAAAACATGTTAATATCTTGAAGTAAGTTAAGAAAATTGCCGGCTGACTCCGCTCTGCTTGGGTCTCTTCATAAAATAGCAGTTCTTTCTCATTTTATTATATATCTAATATTATATAAATATAATTTCGAGTTCCAAGTCCCGAGTCCTGACTATCAATAATTTTTTTTTCCGAATCAATGACCTGGATACGGAAAGTGGTCTCAATAGGCAAATCTTTCGAATCGGGTTTCTTCTGAAACTCTCCTCGCTAGCAACCTTTTGTTATTTATCAATTCAAATGAAGAGCTGTTTGATATATGCGAATATGCAATGCTTTAAGATATTCTAGGGTAAAAGTGAACCGTATGCCAGCTACAATGCTGCAGGCTGTTCAGGCTTGCCTCAAAGTATAGACAACAGCAAAAAGCACTAACCGGCAACACAATACAAAAAAGCTGGCCAAAAACTCTAGTCCACTCATAACCTGCCCAAAAAAGAATTCCTGATTGCAGAGAATTTGTCGGCATTTTGTGTATAAGTGTGTGTGTGTGTGTGTGTGTGTGTGTGTGTGTGTGTGTGTGTGTGTGTGTGTTGGACTGAGTGTGTTTGACTGAGTGTGTCTCTCGTGCTTGGTCTTTTAACGATGGCATTCAAATTTCGCTGGTGCATCTCACAGTTGTTTGGCGGCCACTTCGTCGTGGATTGATAACTGCAGCAACTTTGATTTATTGCCAGCTGTTTTCGCCGGACACACGCCGTAAACAAATAAACGAATTGAACGAATAGTCCTCCTCTATGAGCGTTAACTGGCCCCGTGAGCATTGCCAAACTCGATAGTTGCCACCGTTGCCAGTTCGCCTCTAATCATCGATCAGCATCAGTTGTCGGTTGGAATGCCAACAACAGTAAAAACTGTCACTGAAACAACCGAAACTAATCAAAGTCTGTTCTTCTTTTTGCCCTGCAGCGGTTTGCATTTAATAAAACTTTGTCTTTAGTCCCAAAAATTGGTTCATGTGTTAAATACTTGTTATGGAATTAAGAATTCAGCTTGAGGGAGAGCTCCTGTTTAAATAGTTTTGTAATGCTTCTGTATGAGATAAATTGAGCTATTTACTTCCTCCTAAATAAATAAACATTTCACGTAATTTCATTTCATTTCATAAAATATCACTAGCCAAGTCGAGGGAGTCATGTCGGTCTGTAGGCAATAGATGTGAATATATGTTTTAAGTTGTGGGATTGAGAAATCTAGCTACACATATATACATAGAAGATTGATAGCTACAATCAGTAAATTTGTATAATTTATAAACTAAATAACAAAAACTTAATTATCATTAAATTAACATGCGTCAAGGTAGCCTTTGGCGACAGCAAACCAACTTCAAATGCCAAGCAAAGCAAAGATTACTCTGCTGCTGATGAATTCCTATTGGTGTCCTGCAATTGCAATTTAAATGGGGCATCCATTTACAGCCGCCGGTGGCGTCAAGCGGCTTTTGAACTGGCCTCTCTATCAATGCGCCCAGTTGACCAAGAATCGAAGTTGAGCCATTTGAAATCGCCTTTCAAAGTGTTTGCTGTGATATTTTCGAGCCATATTAAGATTTGTGCGTTCTTTTGAATGCGTTTGGGGTCTTTCAGTTTTGTTTTTTGACATCCGTTTTGCCCAAAAGCGACTTCCGGCTAATGCCAAAATGAGTGACAGTTTGAATGGGCAATGCGTTTACCAATGGTGTTTTCCCAGTTGAGGCCAGCCTATCATATTAATATTATTGATTGTGCTAAAACAGAGTGAAACAAATATTAACAAAGTCAAAACCCCGCTCATTAGCAGCTATAAATATATTTATACCATTTCTGATAAGCAATGGGGGACTTACAAAACAAAACGGAGCCAACGCAAATGGGGAATGTACAAAACGCAGCCAACGCAAATATTCACAATTATAATTGGCTAATCATAGATAATAGATTCCGAAATAATTTTTATAGCTTTCTTCAAATTCCGCTTGGCTGAAACATGCCCAGCTGAGAGTAACTCACTGAACTAACACTCAATCAAGAGAAAACTGTCTGATTCACCTGCTTGAATACCTTCGACAGCCATATTCTATACGAGCACGAAAACCACATTTTATAAAATATAATTAAATGACTAATTTTGTGTAATAATATAAATATTTATTGAACAAATGCTTTGGCGGATTTTTGACATAAATTATATTAAAATGTTTGCATTAAATATTATTAATATTAATATTACATTAAAAAAAACAATGGATGGTCTAAATAGAAATATTCGGGCTCCCTCCTCAGCCATCCTCCAAGAATAAAGAAGAAAATCTGTTAGTAGTAAATGGATATTAAAATGCCAAATACCGATTTGCATACTAATTAAATTGAACAAAAAGAGAAAAGTAATTATAATAAATATGAATCAGCTATCAATTGTAATAATACTCAATAGAAAGTGTAAATTATTATTTAAAGTAATTTTTACTTTGTTGGCACAATTATAATTCAGCATTTCAATAATATTGTTTACGACTTGGAATCATCCCTTCGACTATTTTTAACAATGCAAGTAAAAATAAATGTTAGACAATGTTTTTTTTTACTATTTATAAATATTTATCTAGTTAAAAGAGGCAATAAGGAATCAGTCAGAACAGAGTTAACCTGAAAATAATTTTTTTGCTGTGGTTCCAAATAGCGACCGACGAAAAAGATTGCTTTGCTGCTCCGAATAAGGAATAGGAATGGATGATCCACCTTAAAGGTTTCTTTATTCATATTCAAGCTCATTGGCACCACTTTCAACACTGCAAATAGGCAATTGAATGGATTATAAATTTAATTGTTCGACTTGAAGACAGTCTTACCACTAACCGCTGCCGCTTCACAGCCCGCTTCGTTGACATCGATGTAGCCGCGATGCTTGGCTGCTGAGATCTTCTGTCCCTTTGCCTCCTCGAAAATTCGACTCAGATTTGCCCCATCGCCAAATAGGTCTGTGATGCCTAGCTGTGGATGAGTACTTCATTGTATTTGGCCTGTCAAGTAGCCTACAATGGAATCTCTTACCTGCTGCAGCGTGTCCTTCAGATCCAAATCGAATTCAATGGTGAACTTGGGCATGGCTATCTCCACATCTTGCATCTGCATGTTCTTGTCAATGCTCCAAAAATCCAGCTGATTTAGCTTGCACTCCAATTCCGGCAGTCCACATATCTTGTTTGGCAGCATAATTAGCATGGATATGTCCGAGTCCTCGAAGGGCAACGCAACCGCTCTGGCATCCAGGTCGGGCAGCTCAACATATTTGAACTTGTCCTCCTGGTACATCATGTCAACGGTGACAAGCTGTTTCTTATTCACATAGAAGTCGTCGGGCATTGTGGACTCAGGCGAGAAGGGTTTATGGAATAGTCCCTTAAAGTACAGCGCATTCACAATGACAGCACTTGTCTCCGCATTCACCGCATCCGGCTGCAAAAGGTTCCGTATTTTGTTCTCTGTTACCTGCTCCACCAAAGTGTTGATTTGCTGTGTGGCCTTTGCTGATTGCGCGAAATTCATCTTTTGTGGCTTAAACTGAAAGTAGTCCAAGGCGATTTCAGCAAAGTCGGGCTTCACACTCAGTTGCTCGTTGACGAAGAAATGAGTCACCGTCTTCAGCTTTAATCTCTCCCCACATTCGCTCAGCCTCGACCAGAAATCGTGATAGATCTTGGCAATCTCTTGTCTGTCCTCTGGTCCCAACTTTAGCCCCTTGCGCAGCTGCTCCGATGTAGATCCAGCCGCTCCCACAAAGGCGAGCATTAGGGATGTTTGTATCGAGGCAGGTGAGAATATCATATTACTGCCTTGCACACAGTTCTGGGCGCTAGCACTCCTGGATACCACATCGTACAGGTCCTTGGCAAAGGCATTGAAACTATCTCGACTCTCTGTCATATTCCACGCAGCGCAGAAGGCCAATCTGCCATATATTCAAAATTTAATTGTTCATCGTAAAAATCACATATTTCAAAGCCAAAAATATTTAAAGCATTCTCAATGTCAAATTTTCAACTCTGGATTACTAAATTATTTTATGAATATTAATTAAATTTCGTAAAGACACAACCATTGGAGGTATAGTTTTTTCAATAACAATTTCAATTAACGATAATTAAATATTTAATTTTTGTTTTCACCATTTAGATAATTTAGAATTATTATTATATATATCTGTTGTTGATATTTTCTGTGGAATGTCTAGAAAGATAACTGTTGTCTTTACATGGGATTCTGAAGATAAAGTCCCAAGCGGAAAGAAAATATCATTATTATTGGTCTTTTTTATTATGGCGCCCAACTTAATTTACAGCTAGCTTATAAATATGAATTAAAATGCTGGATCGTCTTCAACTGATTTATTTTTTACCTGAAAGTGTCAACAATGATGATTGTATGCAAGGGAACGAACCGATTTAGCTGAGTATATGGAACAGACTAACCCACAGGTGAGTCAGAACCAAGTGATTGTCACAAACAATTATAAGAGATAAGATAAATGTAATGGAGAGGACTGGAAGGTATGAGAAGAGCAGACCGCGTGTCTCCTCCACAACACCTCGCAATAAATTTAAACAAGTATTTACATTTTGAAAATGACAATTGTCAGTAAATTAAACTATTCCATAAATTTGACTGCAAGCCCTGAATCTAAACACAATTTTTTACTTAAGAGTTGCAGCTGACAAACACTCTTTGGCCAATGAGAACATGCATTGTCAATAGCTGATACGGTTATCTTACGTTGCGATACCAGCAAGGAATGCAGAGCAAGTTAATGGGAAAGGGAAGAGAACGCAAAGAATGGAAAAAACCTGTTTACAGAATTTGTAAAAAGACAATTAAAACTAAAAGTAGCTGTAGGTTGGGTTTTGTATTCTAATCAGTATTTCCTACACAAAGTACTAATGTGCACATATATACATACATATATATATATATATATATATATATATATAAATATGTATATATTTATTTATTTACTTATTCAAAACAAGGCACAAATTCAGATCGACATAGTCTAATTTTCACTCGGAATTACTGATAAGAAGAGCGCCAACGGTAAGTAGGAACTGTGCACAAGTCAGTCTTTAACGGACATCTGTCGAAGCAGTTCGTACAATCAGCTCAGCGGTGTTATTCAGTTGTTGTTATTGAGTTGTAAATCCTAAAACGGTTTCTGGTATTATCCAAATAAGCTCCGAAATGAAGCAATTAGATGGTAAGCAAACAAAAGACAAAAGAGCAGCTGATAAGCAACTGAGAAAGCGTGAGTGACCCCGTAAGAGAGATCTGACACGCTCACGCTGTGTAAAAGTGAATATAAGAGAAACAATGTAGAGAGAGCAAATCAAGTATGTGGATATACATAATGTAAATGCGCTCTCACACATACACGTGCATGTAGTGTTCTCTCTCTCTCTCTCTCTGTGTTTAAAACAACAGCGAACTGAGCGCAAGCATTCAGTTAGCGTTCAGTCGCCTGTTGAAACGGAAGAAAGTAACGTTGTTTACACATTGAGAAAGCAGAAGTAAAGCAAAGACAAAATAAGAAGCTGCTAGAAACGAAATTGAACAAAGCCGAAAAGCACAAAGACAAATTTTTGTGAATCCGCATTTAGTTTGTGAGTTAACACAACGGGCAAAACGGCTAAACAACACCGAATACTAAACAACGCTCGACGAGGTGACTCATCTATGGCAATTGCAATTATATAAATTGATGAAATCATTTCACACTTTTTTTGTTTGTGCCACAACAAAACTCTCTCTAACACAAGACACGCATTTGTCATTTACTACCCACAGTCTGTGTGACGCTCTCGCTGCTTCTGCTGCTGCTCCAGGCACCCCTTCAACTAGCCCAAACCCAGCCCCACTCCAAGAGCCCAGCTGACGTCATGGCCGACTCAGAGAGCACAAATTTAGCCGAATTCTCGCGCCGGCTGGCCAAGTTTTCGGTTAACATGTATGGAAAACTGGTTGCCTCGAAGCCCAACACAAATGTCGTCTTCTCGCCCTTCTCCATTCAGACCTGTGCAGCAATGGCACGTTTGGGGGCTGACGGGGAGACTGCCGCCGAGTTGGATCGGGGCCTTCAGCTGGTATCCAGCGATGTGGCCAAAATAGCCGAAAGCTTTCACCAAGTGCTGGCTGCCTATGAGAAGAGCACCATTCTGCGCATCGCCAACAAAATCTACTTGATGAAGGGCTACGAATTGAATGATGAGTTCAGCGCTCTGGTCTCCAATAAGTTTCTATCGCCCGGCCAGAACGTGGACTTTTCAAAGAATGTGGAGGCAGCAAATCTAATCAACACCTGGGTGGAGCAGCAGACGAATAACCTGATCAAGGATCTCGTCGCACCCAGCCTACTGGACGCGCAGACGCGTCTGGTGCTGATCAATGCGATTCACTTTAAGGGCAACTGGGTGCACAAATTCCCGGAGCATGCCACGCGCGATGAGCGTTTCCATTTGAGCGAAACCGAAAGCGTCAATGTGCCGATGATGAATCTGAAGGAACGCTTCCGCTATGCCAATCTGCCCAATCTGGATGCCGCTGCCCTCGAATTGCCCTACAAGGACTCGGATCTGTCCATGCTGATCTTGTTGCCCAACAGTAAGACGGGCCTGGCACAGCTTGAGGAGAAGTTAAGCACCACGCCGCTTTCTCAGATCACGGAGCAGCTGCAAAGCACCCAGGTGATGGTCAAGCTGCCCAAGTTCAAGGCCGAGTTCCAAGTGGAGCTGACACCCGCCTTCAAGGAGGTAATTTAAATACAATTGCATTTCTATTTACTCGATGTCTAACTGCATTCGCTACCCACTTCCAGCTGGGCATGACGAGCATGTTCTCTGATAAGGCAGACTTTAGTAAAATGCTGAAGGCACCCGAGGAGTTGAAGGTGTCTGCTATCATACACAAGGCTTTCATCGATGTCAATGAGCATGGAACTGAGGCAGCGGCAGCCACCGGTAAGTGACAATCCATCCATCTCTGTTCTTGGGTCATCATCCATTGCATCCTGATCATGATTGCATGTGATAGTTTTGTACATTGTCTCTCTCGGTCTTTTGTCTGTTCTCATTGTTAGCCGCTGTGATCCGTCAAAAACGGAGCCTCATTGGGTACCAGCAGCCGGTCGAGTTCCATGCCGATCATCAATTCATCTATGTTCTGGCGCACACGCAGCATGTGCCCATATTCTATGGCTCCGTTGTACGGCTAAATGGGGCAACATCAGACGCGCCTCTTGCTGCACCAGGCAGCGAACACGACGAGCTTTGATCACAGTTACTAGATTAGAATAAAAACGGGTGTTTTTATATATATACCTTTATATCTTGATACGTAGATAAATGATAATAAAATGGCAGTATTTCTATATGTCAATTTATATATGTATTTAATTGCGTCAATCTTATCTAATCGTGTACCGATTTTGCCGTGAAATGCTACAGCTTTCGCTGTCAGAAAGTCAGAAATTTACATGCCAAATTGGAATGCAATCATTTGTTTCAAGCAGAAACATAATTCATTAAATTCAATAGGACATCCACTATTTAATAATCTTAGCATATAATCATGTTTGCATTTTTTACTAGCTCCGTTCTGTTTTCTAATCCCCACAGCTATAATTATGTGTGTAGGCATGTCATCGATCTCATTCGAGCCAGAACCCATACCATTCTATGCGAATCGACCATTCACCTATTATATTGCCAATACGCAGGGCGCGGTGCTGTTTGCTGGCAAACAGCAAAAGTTTAAGTAACTTTAACATCAAATTTAAGCAGATTCTATAGCTTTTTGTACGATAATGATATTTTTGCAGTACTCGAAATTTGTATACGACATGTTTTAACAAATACCTCAAATGTATAACTGATTAAATTAACATAAATTACTGATGTGCTCACATTAAATAACCCTCGATAGTTATTTCTGCGTGTGTTTTTTGTATATAAACTCAATCTTATCACGTTCATTGAATCATTCAATTGTTTCACAACTAATCATCTGTGTTTTGTGTTTGTCTCTCATTTTTGTAGCAATGGTCGTATGCTGTGAAATGATGATAATTGAGCCTGATCCGATTGATTATAATGCTGATCATCCATTCCTCTATTACATTATCAATGAGCAGAACTCTGTGCTCTTTGCCGGCAATTTGCAACAATTTTAGGAGCCCCTTCTTAGAGCCATTTGTACTACTATTTAAATAACTAACACAAGCTACAAAGACTGTCATTTGTTGGTAGTATTTTAGTGTATACATTTTACCTAAGCAAATGCATGACAAGTTTAGATTTCCACTGGTGAATCATTCTGCACAAGCAGTGGGCGTTTCCACTCTATCATTAAATGTGTGACAACAAAAATACATAGTAGAAAACTGTAATTGTTTTAAGTATACCAAAGTAGACAAGTAGACATGTTGCCCTTAAAGTAAATACAATTTGCCTAAATATATATATACATACATATATATATATATATATATATATATATATATGGCTACTGTGGCCTTCAGCTAGCATTACTGATACGAATTACAAAGTTTGCTTCACATTTTTATTATACTACCTGCTCGACTTGTTATTATAAAATGCCAGTGTGCTGTTTAGGTTATTACTGTTGAGATTGAATAAAATACATTTCAAAAATAAAATAGGACTGTAATTAATTTTATAATTTCAAATTCTCGCAATGACAAAACTCACATTTTCCTATTCAAGAACTTGGAGCTTGATTTTTATTAAAAGAGATATTTTCTCGTGCTTTATTTCTTCAAAACTGTATGTAAATCGGTGTATGGCATTACTACTAACAAAGTTGCTTTTTTGTCCTTGGCTTAAACTATTGCAGGATATGTCATTCTCTGCAAAGGACCCCAACCTTTCTTTGCAGATCATCCATTCATGTATTATATAGTCAATAGATTTTCTGCTTGATCCTGATCACTTTTGTGTTTAATTCACCAACTAGTTAATTAACTCATTCATCCAAAATTATTAATTATACGCGTTTTGTGTTTATCTTTCATTTACACAGCCATGATGATAAGTAACATGCTTATTGAGCCTGATCCGATTGATTTAAATGCTGATCATCCATTCCTCTATTACATTATCAATGAGCAGAACTCGGTGCTCTTTGCCGGCAAATTGCAACAATTTTAGGCAATCCCTCTTAATGCAATTTGTACCAATATTTAAATAACTAACACAAGTCACAAAGACAGTCATTTGTTGGTAGTATTTTAGTATACATTTTACTTTAACTTGGGGCACGACATGTTTCTAATAGATGCCAAATTTAGATTTCCACTGGTGAATCATTCTACACAAGCAGTGTAATTGTTTTGAATATACCAAAGCAGACATGTTGCCCTTAAAGTAGATATTATTATGTTTTATTTATTAAGAATTTAGCCTAAATGGGTGGGTTATACATATATAGGCTTTCAGCTAACAATTAATGACACGAATTACAAAGTGTTCCTTTTGCTAGAAATATTCTGCTTAACAGTTTTATTATACTATCTACTTGATTTGTTATTATAAAATGTCAGAGTGCTGTTTAGATTATTACTATTGAATTTAAATAAAATTTATATAATAAAACAGAACTTTAATTCATTTTATAATGCCAAATTCTCGCAATGACAAAATGCACATTTTCCTATTCAAGAACTTGGAGCTTGATTTTTATTTAAAGAGATATTTTCTCGTGCTTTATTTCTTCAAAACTGTATGTAAATCGCATTACTAACAAATTTGCTTTTTTGTCCTTGGCTTAAACTATTGCAGGATATGTCATTCTCTGCAAAGGACCCCAACCTTTCTTTGCAGATCATCCATTCATGTATTATATAGTCAATAAGCAAAAATAAGGAATAATGCAACATTTTTGATGTGATTTCATTATTAAGAGTTGCCCAAATTTGTTTTCATGGCAAATTGTAGTCTTTTTTGACTTTCTGCTTGATCCTGATCACTTTTGTGTTTAATTCACCAACTAGTTAATTAACTCATTCATCCAAAATTATTAATTATACGCGTTTTGTGTTTATCTTTCATTTACACAGCCATGATGATAAGTAACATGCTTATTGAGCCTGATCCGATTGATTTAAATGCTGATCATCCATTCCTCTATTACATTATCAATGAGCAGAACTCGGTGCTCTTTGCCGGCAAATTGCAACAATTTTAGGCAATCCCTCTTAATGCAATTTGTACCAATATTTAAATAACTAACACAAGTCACAAAGACAGTCATTTGTTGGTAGTATTTTAGTATACATTTTACTTTAACTTGGGGCACGACATGTTTCTAATAGATGCCAAATTTAGATTTCCACTGGTGAATCATTCTACACAAGCAGTGTAATTGTTTTGAATATACCAAAGCAGACATGTTGCCCTTAAAGTAGATATTATTATGTTTTATTTATTAAGAATTTAGCCTAAATGGGTGGGTTATACATATATAGGCTTTCAGCTAACAATTAATGACACGAATTACAAAGTGTTCCTTTTGCTAGAAATATTCTGCTTAACAGTTTTATTATACTATCTACTTGATTTGTTATTATAAAATGTCAGAGTGCTGTTTAGATTATTACTATTGAATTTAAATAAAATTTATATAATAAAACAGAACTGTAATTCATTTTATAATGCCAAATTCTCGCAATGACAAAACTCACATTTTCCTATTCAAGAACTTGGAGCTTGATTTTTATTTAAAGAGATATTTTCTCGTGCTTTATTTCTTCAAAACTGTATGTAAATCGCATTACTAACAAATTTGCTTTTTTGTCCTTGACTTAAACTATTGCAGGATAAACTATATGTCATTCTCTGCAAAAGATCCCAACCTTTGCAGATCATCCATTCATTATTATATAGCCAATAAGCAAAAATAAGGAATAATGCAACATTTTTGATGTGATTGCATTATTAAAAGTTGCCCAAATTTTTTTTTCATTAATATTTTTATTATTATTAATCATTTTAGTACTGTAATAAAATGGCAAATTGTAGTCTTGTTGACTTGTTGACTTTCTGCTTGATCGTGATCACTTTTGTGTTTAATTCACCAACTAGTTGTTCGACTCAGTCATCCAAAATGATTAATTATACGCGTTTTGTATTTATCTTTCATTTATACAGCCATGATGATACAAGTGGATATGTTGATTATTGAGCCTGATCCGATTGATTTTAATGCTGATCATCCATTCCTCTATTACATTATCAATGAGCAGAACTCGGTACTCTTTGCCGGCAAATTGCAACAATTTTAAGTAATGAAAATCCACATAAATCACAAATTGCCTATTAGTATAATGTTCAACTCGATAACTAACACAAGCCTTAAAGGCTGGTAGTATTTTATTATAAATTTTACTCAATCTTTGTGCACGCCATTACAAATGCTAGAAAGCAATTTAAATTATCGCTAATTTAAAAAGTCGTAAATATTTTGCTTATAGATTAAGTTATACTATAATTAACCCTCTAGTGCCCCATTCTATTTTTTGCGCTTATTTGTTTGTAAGAACCCCAAAAATGTCATCACACGTCGCATCCAGCATTTGTTTTGGGCTTTCAACACTATAATAATATATATTTCCAACTGCAACCAATTTTAATAACAATAATAAAAATCTCCAGCTACTTTAAGCATCAGCATGTGTTGCTCACGGCAGAAAATAAATTTATTACCAATATTATTCCTTATAAATGAATTGCTATTAAAAATACCAACAAATAATCAGAAAATTCTTAGTAGAAGGTCACAGAACTAAGCAAGATTGTTAAGTTTATGATTGGATTTTGCTGTATTTAACAGTAATAATAATATAAAATTGTTGCGATTATAAAACTTGTATTTTCCTATTGAAGAACTTAAAGCGAATATTTGGCCAAAGTAAAATTTCCTATTTAATTTAAAGAGGTCTTCCATCCTCTCCTTCGTTCTTCATATTAATATTAGTGCATGGCATTAAGGTATAAATATATATCTATCCACGACTAAAAGCGCTTCTCTTCTTGGTTCTTGTTTTATATTATTACAGTCTTAACCATACACCTGAGAGCGAGGCAAATGCGGGGGCCCCAACGCTTTTATGCCGATCATCCATTCCTTTACTATATAGTCAATAAGCAGGTTGCGGTGCTCTTTGCCGGGAAAATGCAAAAGTTTTGATATAATCTCAGACAATGAATTCGCTAATAAATCCTTTCAATTACTATGTTTATTACTAAATACTCGATTACAGTAATAAAATGTATTGTCGATATCCATAGAAGTAGGGATCTTCTTGTTAATCTCAGTCGTTGAACATTATTAATCATTCGCAGTTTAATGTTTATCTCTCATATTAATGAAATGGGTCAAAATTGCGACGATTTTGAAATAGATTTTATTCTACTAATAATGCATATTTACCCACCTACATATTTAGTAATAAAATTGCAGAAAGCATGTCGATGGGTATTTTCTCTTTGTGTATCCAATAAACCATAAGTTCTCTTGGTTTCATTTCTACAGAAATGCTGGATGTGTTGATGCTTGAGCCGGATCCAATTGATTTTAATGCAGATCACCCCTGTCTTTATTATATAATCAATGGGCAGGATGCTGTATTTTTTGCTGGCAAGCTGCAACAGTTTTGAGCAATGCAAAGCCAATTTAACTATTTCCAATCAATGAACTAAAGAAAAGATACATTCACAAATCATTCCCTTTTGCATGGCATAGATTTTGTTTTATAGATTATGATTGAGAACAGTAAATAACTTTGAGTATCACACTATCACGTGGCTCACAATCATTTGGCAGTGGGTATTGTTGTATCGTATTGGAATAGTATTTTAATCGGGTGTGTTTTTTGTTCTTGTCTCCCATTATTTCAGCTATGGTCATGTGCTTTGCATCGATGCCCATGTTCCAGCCGGAGCCCATACGTTTCCATGCAGAGCATCCATTCTTTTACTACATTGCCACTAAGCAGGGCGCGGTGCTCTTTGCTGGCAAGCAATTAAAACTATAATAAATAAAAAGATAGAATAATAACATGATAACATAACACCCAAAATACCATTCCACAAAGACTGCACACGACGACAATCGATTTTACTAAAACCTTTTAATTCTTCTATTTTTTGCCACTAATCAAGCATGTTAATTGTATTTTATAATAAATAATATTTGAACAAATTGAACTCTATGGCGTTCTATGACTTATCCACAGTTTTCCGCATCATGCCCGTCATGGCTCTCAGGCGACACAAATTCTTTGCTAAACATCCGTTTGCCTACTTTATCAAGACCCAAAGCGACATTTTACTCTTTGCTGGCAAATATTTGGCCTGATTCACCGATAGTCTAAGCAAAACAATACAAAACAATAAGAAACAAAAACAAAAAACGAAGCCAACTAGTTTTAAGCTCAATGGCAAACGACATAAATAAATTGTCTGTTTGAAACAGAAACTTTGCGTTCTTTATATAAATTTGAAAAAAGTTATTTAAGTTTCCTGTTGGAATTTCTCTGGTTGTGAACATGTAAGTATAAATGGAAAAGCTTATTTCATTAAGTTAATATATGAATATATTTAAAAGACATACAATGTTGGCATAAGTGGAACAGATATGATGATATGAGATAAATAAAGCATTTACTCAAGTTTAAAAAAAGCTTCATCTGTTTAGGGTTTGCAGTTTGAAATTAGAAAAGCTTGCAACTCTGACCTTATATTAATAGTTGTTTTTGTGTATTCTGATTGATCCGTTGTATAATATATAAAGCATTTACTCAACCATTGATGCGTTTAATTCAGGCACGCAAATCCTACATTTCATATATCAATTTTGCGAAAATGTCTCGAGCGAGTCTCGAACAGTTAATCTTGCAATGCGAATCAAGATGCATTGCTTCGGTTTCGCACTGCTGCTAATAATGCTTCATTGTGTTGGAGCGCAATTTAACTGTAAGTGATGCGGAAATGGTTCCCCAATCCAGTTCGATTTTGATATACAAATTCAAACTCAACAGTAACTGCCTATAAGCAAATGCCTGCTCTGTATCACCTGGATGACTACGATCTGTGCCTACAGCAGCCACCTAGTCGTCTTTTATTCCGCAGCACCTACTGCCTCGTCTACGTTGAGATTGTGTCCAATGCCAGCTCCAATCTTTGGCAGCAGATCGAGCGAGTGTCGCGCGATGAGAAGCATCACTTTCGTCACGATCATCTATTTGTGGGGGTTTGTTTAGAACGCTGCAAACAGGCGCTGCATACTCTCTCCAAATTTCAGATACAGCAGCTGTACGAGGGAAAGGTGGCAGATGAAGAGGTAAGTCTTGGATTTTGCTTTTATATATATTTGCTGCTCAATTTGCAACAAAAAAACTTCATAAAGTCAAATTTATGTTTAAAATGTAACGGCCAATTTCTCTTGAAGTGTTACCAAATTGCTGTTTGGGAGTTAGTCGCTTAAAGCGTTGCCACCTTTTTTTGTATATTTAATTCACTTTCTAAACTTGCAAATTGAGCAAAGCATAAATGTAGTTTGATTGTATTAACATTCGTGCACCTGCACAGCTGAGCAGTTATTATACCAAAGTGCATAAGCGGACATCAGATGAGCGCCTACTCTACGACCACCTAATCAATAGCTGCCTTAATCGCCAGCTGGGCAACAGATTCCAATTGCGTCTGCGCAGCAGCATTGAATACTGCGAGCGAGCCGATGAACCACTCGAACACGGTAAATTTGCTTAAGTGTGACCAGCAATTCGCAAGTTGTTAACCGTTTGTCCACGCAGATGCACTCGATTTATTTGTTTACGGGCTGCTCATCCTGCTGCTGCTGCTCACCGTGCTCTCAAGCTACTATGATTTCAGCCTCAAGCGACAGCAAAATGTATCCGGCTCAACTAATGGGAATCTCTTTTACCAGCAGCGCCTCAGGATGCGTGGTTAGCTCCACACTAAAAGCTGTTATCTTGCTCAACTCTTAGCTCTCTCTCTCTCTCTCTCATTATCTGATTCTCTCTCTATTACACTCTCCCGGTTAGCTCAAAGATTTCTCTGCTCCTTTTCGCTGTGCCGCAATTATTATCGTCTTGTGCTGCCCTTGAGCAGCGATATCTCCAAGGATCTGCGCTTCTTTGATGCTTTCCGGGTGATGGGCGTTTTTATCGTTATAATGGGACACACGTTGATGGTCTTTATGACGGTGCAGCTGCAGAATCCGGAGTTTTTCGAGCAGTATCTCTACAAATTTGAGGCTTCAATATTTCAGAATGGCAACGCCTGCATTCAAATATTTTTCGTAATGAGCGCTTTTCTACTCTACGTGAATTTTACGAAGCTTAAGTGGATCAAGCCGGAGACGGGAGTTCTGCGTTGTATTGCGGTTTATTTTCGAGTGTTCTTTTGCAGATATTTTAGGCTGCTGCCATCGTTAATTATGTTGATCCTTTGCAATGGCACAATTTTAACCCGTTTGGGCAATGGACCTCTTTGGAGACATTTGACGGAGGCCGAAAGAGTTTTCTGTCGCGAGAACTGGTGGAAGAATGTTTTCTTTGTGAACAATTTTCTGCTGGAGGAGAGCGTAAGTGCACTGACTATATGCCTGACTAGAGTATACCCTGTAAACCATATATATTTCGCTGACAGTGTGCACACCAAACTTGGTATTTATCAGCAGATATGCAGCTCTTTGAACTCTTCCTCATTGTCATCATCATAGCAAATAAGTAAGAAAAGCCAATTCAAAAGAAAGCTAAAGCTTATCAGACATTGTTTGCAGATATCCCAGACTGGCCAGATATATGTATATAGTGCTGATCGCATTGGCATTGGCTGTGCCAGCTCTGTTGACCTATTACCTAAAACTGGATGCAGCTTATCACATGAAGCCTGAGTAAGTCTGATTGGAGTTATAATTTAAACTAAAAGAGAATTTCTAACTCAACAGCAACTATCGATAGAAACTATCGATATTTATATTTTCGGAATGTGGAGACCTTTTACAGCATCTATTTGCCATTCTACACAAATATCGGTGGCTATTTGATGGGTTTCCTCTGTGCTCATCTCTATCTCAAGTCGCGTTCCACTCCAAATGGGGCCAGCTACAAAGGCAACTCGAAGTTGGAGCTGGGCATGTGGATGCTGTTCTTGATCCTCTTTTTGATCCTCTTCTCTGGCTTCATCTTTATCAGGCACGACTTTGAGAAGCCCTCCATTTGGCTGGCACTCTATGCGTGCCTCTACAAGAATCTATGGATTCTGGTCTGTGCGGGCTTTGTGTGCTGCATGTGCTTCAAAGTGGGCTGTAAGTGGAACCCATTGATTTAGCGAGTGTTTCTATTATTCTTCCTATCTTTTTTTCCAGGGCTGGCCTTCGAATTTAGTTCTCTGGCCATTTTTCGACCTTTGGCTCGACTTTCATTTCAGACTTTTCTGTGGCATACTTTTGTATTGCGCCTCGTTGCTGGTTATTTTCGAGAGCCAATCTATGTCAACAAATTATATTTGGTAAGGTTTTGATTAAATCATAAATTGGAAATATAATTTTGCTTTTATTTTCAGTTTGGCAATGTAATTGTTGTGTTTGTCCTGACGCAAATTTTGGCTTTTGTTGTGGCGTTGCTATTTGAATACCCGCTGGCAGAACTCTTAAAACAGCTAACTAGCCAAGAGTCAACTGTTGTTGACCAAAAGCCGAATGCAAACTATGCAAATGCATTTCAAATTGAGCTTAATTCGCGCTAATATTTTGGTATTTTAATTTCAATTTGGCAAATAAATAAAATATTCCGTTCTTTGGGAGACCAGTATTTTAGAAATACTATATGAACTTAGTATTTTTGTAACAAGTTGGCAGCTCTAGTGTCGTATTATTTCACTCTTCTGCCTACGGTCACACTGCTAAGCTGTTCAGTTTTGTTTTCTCTCGTCTCGCTCGTCGGCGTTTTGCTACGTTTCGTCTTCTCGCAAGCGCAAATTCTTAAACAGTTCACAACAAAGTGCGAAATTAAATATTGCATATTCTCAATTAAATATCAAGCATAAATGCTAAATTAAAGTGAGTGTTCTTTCAAGTGTGTGTGTGGATATTTTGTATAATTTTCAATTGCGGCAACCTTTTGCATTTCCAATACAAAAAATGTCAATGAATCATTTGTGGCATTTTTACTAGCAAACGCCAAGTGGCAGCCATTTAAAATGATTTGTTATTGATATTTGATTAGTTTAAAATAAGATTACATTTAAATAATCAACGCGCGTATTACAAAATCATTCAAATCACGGCAAATAAAATAAGTGCGACAATGTTTGTGTTTTTGCGTTTGTGTGTGTGTGTGTGGTGCGTGTGTGTATGCGTGTGTGTGCGCGCGCTCTTGTACGTGTGTGCGTGTTTGAGTGGTGAGCGCAATGCATGTGAAGAGTGCGGCTATAAAATGTTGGCACTCGCGCTCCCGCTCCCACACAGTGTTATATGAGTCGCAACACTCCAAAAAAGGGAATAAAAATGAGAAGCGTCTTGTGAACAGCAACAACAACAACAAAAAAAGACCGAACGCCGAAAAATGTTGCAAAATGAAAGAAAAGCAAACAAAACGAAAGCAAGCAAGCAAGATTTCTGCGTGTTTAGCCACACACACACATATCTACCATCTACATTTAAATTAATTGTTCTTTTTTTATATCGCTTTTAGCTGTAATTTTTGTGCTCACATTTTCCGGCTTGTTTATAAAGTTCTGAGAGAGAGAGAGAGAGAGCGCGCGCCCAATTGTTGCTCTGCTCTGCTGCTGGAAGCAACAAGTAACCAAAAACGCACGGGGGTGTCTCAAAATGCGTGCTCTCTTTTATTATTATTTAGATGTTGAGCTGTGGGCGCAAACGCAGCCGATAAGCCGCAATTGAAATATTGTGGCAATTACGCCAAAAGAAACGTGGCTTCAAGTTGGCCAAAGCGTAGCATTGCAGCAGCTCAGCAATACTGGCTGAGGCTGCGTGTGCAAGTGTGTCGTATGCGTGTGTGTGTGAAACAAGTGTGAAAAACAAACGACCTCCAGCAGCGTCTACGTCTGCGTCAGCATCTGTGTCTGTGTCGCGCTCTCTTAGAAAGTGTAAGAAGAGCGCGTGCGAGCACGAAAGCCCCCCACGCACAGTCGTTGTTATTGTTCTTGTTGTTGCTGTTGTCACAGGCGTTGTCATTGCTTTTGTTGTTGTCCAAAAATGGGTTAAGCAACGACGACGACGGCGAAAAAGAAACAAACGCTGCAAACGCCAATTAGTGACAATATATAAATGAAAAACGCATGCAGTGTGCGTGTGTGTGTGTGTGTCTGCGCAAATATGTATGCAAATTAAGTGGCAGTGTCCAAAAAAAAAACAGCAACAACAACAACTGCCGCCAATCTGACTAAGCGCAAACGCAGCAGAAATAGCAACAAGTAGACGCGAGACGGAGAAGCGTCGTGCAATTAAGACAGCAGCAACAACAACAACAAGCAATGCATAGTTAAATTTAGCAGCAGAGTTCCACTTTCACTCGACGGCGGCGGCGGCGACACCGACACCCACCAAGCCCCCCTCCTTGTTGCATGTTAAATTCAATGCGTGCTTTGCACGATTTTGCAACTACTAACAACACGATAATCGTAATTTAAATATACACATAATTTGATACGATTCGATAAATCGATAAATGGCTAATCGTTAGAAAATTCAACTTTGGCAGTGTGACCACTCACTGTTGGGAGTTCAAAGTTCTAACGCAGCCAATGCATACATATATATTGTCTGCTTAGTGGCACTAATTAAGTACTGTCGTAGTTTGTCACTTGAAAGTCCATCTCTAAGTGGCTTGTGGCAGGCAGTACGACAGGGAGACAGGCGCGGCAGACACTTGCGCGCTTTATGTCAAGATTTGAGTTAATCGTCTGCAAAGCAGCAGTTTGATGAACTTAACTACAACAAGGCAATGCAATCACAAAAAACGTTGAATATGCTGCTGGTTTTCTTGTTGTTGTTGCTGCTGCATGCCACTGGTAATTACAGTAATGCCTAATGATGACATCATCGTCAAGCTCCACGCTGACAGCTGCTGCTGCAGCATTGCATTCACAATGATATTCAGGCGAAAGTTTCCATCGATGTGAGTCTGCTGATAAGGCCAAGCGGGGCAGCAGTAGCTGCTAGCTGCAGCTGTAGATGCTTATCAGCAGCATTCGCTCGTCTGGCAGTGATGATGATTCATTTGACATGCCACCTACAACACAATGCATCACACATCAAACCGCATAGCTCTACTTAGTGTTATTGATATACCCTGTAGTCGTAAAATGTGCTAAACGGCACTAAGAAAATATATTTTGCGTTGAGCAGCGTCAACTTAAGAACTGGATACGCATAATTTGATTCTTGTTAGCCAATAAAGAAATATATGTCTTTAATATTTAATATATACATATAGAATTTGAAAAATTATGGATAGCTTTTTCATTGAATTCAGGCTAGAAAAGTGTTATGTTATCGATAACTCTTGAATGGCATTGAATATCTTTTTTGGCCTTATATCGAGGATTTCGTAGAATGTGTAGAATATTTTAAATTATTGAATGGATACATGTTTTTAGAGGATTTTTTTATATTTATTAATAACTGTTTAATTAAATTTAATCCACAATTAATTTCGATACCAAATTTTGTACTTTCTACACCAGAAACAGAAAAGGAATGTTAGTATTCAAATGATGGTATAGTATAACTATCTAGATTGCATTTACACTGCATTTATTTAGAATATCAGTCCAGTTATGGCGGGGTGCAGGGTATCTTCAAGTCAGGCGAGTGTACTCTTGTTTGTTATTTGGTTGCTGTTGCTCATCGCACATTCATGCCGCCCGTTGTCCACTAATTAGATGCTGGACAGTTGGGATTATAACTGGTCGCATATTAGCATTGTGCAGCAGCCAATTGGAGCATAGCCACTTGTGCCCCATGCCAACATGCCCCGTTGCGCCTTTGCCCCTTTCAGTTATTGTTCGCTTCATTTGTCACACTCGATTTCTTACTTTCTTACACTCGATTGCATTGCGCGCAGTGAAAAATTACAACAACGCTTAATTGACGATTACTCCTGTTGTCCCCGCCCCCTTGCCCTCACCTCAACGGGGGGTGCTTTGGTGTTTTAGTCACGCCGACAAGCAGGCATGAAGCCAGGCAGGCAGGCAGCAAAAACACAACAACATTTGTTAGCAATTAGAATTGGCCGGTGAACAGCGTTTCGACAAAGCGTTAAGATTTGCAATCAAGCATTAAGTCAATTTGTGGCCAGTCTACGTCGACGTCGTTGTTGACGCGTTGCAATCATCAGTTGCTGATGATGAACCGATCAGCTCGTTGCATCGTATTGAGAAATGGGTTCTGGAAGCTGTCATGGAATGAATGAAGTCAGCGCATACTAACCAGTACAGTGCGTGCCATAAGTCTGCTTACCCCAATTGCATACTTACGCATATTGCTCCTCTTCATATGTTATTTGAATAGTATACCGCTTGCATTATTTATGTAATGTGCACTAAAAGCAGTCGGCAAAATTTAAAAAAGATTTTAAAAAATTATATTTTCAAAGTACATTTTACCATTCAGATTACACACAATGATTAATTAAAATGAGTAATTAAATGAAACATAAAAGTATATAATTATTCTGGTAATTTGAAAATTTAAAACGGTCCAACATTTATGGCAAAGATTGGAGAAACCAAAAAAAAAGAAAGCCAATCACACTAAAAAAAATGTTAATCGATAGAAAAGTAGAGATTAAATAAATAATCTCCACAAGTGAAGTACTTTAAAAGTGCAAATCTTTTTATTTAAGTTCTTATTATGTTAGCTTCTGAACAATATTACAAACATCCCTGAAATGTGTTCTTAAAAATTAATTCATTATTAGTGCAATTGCACTTTTGGATGAGAAAATGGTTTTCACAAGAACTCGAATTGGAAGAACTAATTATTATTATTAAAGTTGTCTTTAAAAATCACTAAATAATAATTTCAATGGCCATTTTTAACGCCCTTTGGAAACGCGTGAGAATACTCCCAGAACTGGAACTATTAATTATTATTATAGTAATCAAAATTCTTTTCATGGAGAAACTCTTTGCTGTTATCCAAAAAATTAAATTCAACAAACGAAACGATTTCCAAAAAATTCTTTAGCATTATCAGCTTAGGAAAGTTAAAATATAAATATTAAACAAGCTTATAATAAAAATAATAGTTAGCATATCTTATCAGTTGAACTATGATAAATGATTGCATTGCTTATACTACTTGTACCTATTACAAGTAGATAAACTCAAGGACAAGTGGCATTAACAAATCATGTTTCAAGCTAACATTGATCAATAACTATTGCAAGCCATTGTTATGTGTGTGTGCGGGTGTGTGTGTATACAATCAGTATTTGCTGTCATTGTCGGCGTCTCTGTTTGTTGAGCTCTCAATCAGACCACCCACCCGCACTCCCCCTCCACTGCCCGCAGTCAGTCTTGAGCCCGCATATAACAAGTAATTCTACATGCTGGCTACTCATAGTATACCACTTTGTATCAACTTCCGTTATTTATATGCTGTTATACATGTGTTTTGTGTGAGGCATTATCGCTAGTTAAAGGAATGCGAGGCGAGTCGAGACGAGACGAGGCGATGCAATTTGTAATTGTGCGGCAATTGTTTTGCCACAATAAAGTTGTGCCAAAATGCCAAAGACGCCAAAAAGAAGCAATCTAAAATAAATGTTGAACAAATATTGCAAACAAATAAAGACATTAAAATGGCAAATTACAGGCGCTCAATGAATGGGTGTGCCAATGAGTGTGTGTGCGTCTCTCTCTCTGTGTGTGTGTGTGTGTATTCTTGTGTATTAATATGAAAATTGAATTTTACCCCAAGATGATTGAATTTTCTATTAATAAGTTTTAACCTTCAGCAAGCTGTGAAATGTATAAAAATTCTAATTCTCTAGCGAAGGTGTTTGTTGAGACATACAAACACCATAAATAAATCTCTCACACACACACACATCTATATGTATAAGCATATATGCATATGTGTGTATGTGTATAGTTAGCTCGATCGGAATATATATACATATACATATATCTATAGCAAATTCAAGAGCTATTTTTTGAGTGTTAGAATATTATATATATATATTAGAGTGCTGTTTTATGAGTGCTTTGAGAACATTCTTTTTTGTTAGCTGATATAATTTATCAGCAGCGCCAATGATAGTGACTGTATTGATACACACCCACACACACACACACATGCACGCACACACTCCATGACAGAGTTTACCTTGCAGCGAAAAGAAAATAAATACTAAAAATGTGTACATATAAAAAGTTTATGATTTTTAGCGGGTCAATGACAAATTCATTGTGCCCCACAGCATATTTCTACACATATATATACAAATATGTATATTCATATATATATATATATATTACTTTCAGCACAGAAAAGCAGAAAAATGAGCATATTAATAAATTAATGGCCGTCTTTGCGTTTTGTTTCTGTTGCTTTTAGCGTCTTTTTTTTTTATTTTGTTTGTTTTTTTTCCTTTCCACTGATTAAAAACGAAAGCTTCGCGCCGTTGTTTAGTCAGCCTTTTGGCCATATTCGTAATGGGTATTTGTGGGCCCAACCCCAGTCAAGAGTTTGGCGAATTGGTTAGAGTTCATTTGTGTTGTGCTGAGGTTGGGTTATTTTCTGTTTTGTCAGATTGTGTAGCCATAATTCACGTGTTGTTGTCAGCCAATTCGTTATTTCAGCGTTATGATGTCATATAAAAAGCAACTTATTGCTACCTATCAATGTTATTCTTGTTGTTGTAGTTTCTCCTTAATTTTTGATAATTGAAACCCGTTTGAAGTGCGATTCGGGGTGAAAGTGTTCTTAGGCTCCTCAATTGCAGCCATAACATTTTTCTATGTGTTGTGTGTTGTTTGTTTTCTTTTTTTTCCTTCTATATCTTTGTTTGATCTTTATGCAACATTTGAATACAAAAAAGTACAAATCAAAACAATGCCAACGATTTGCTTTCGCATACAATTTATAAGCTTAAGTCACAGCTTAACGGAGCTGCTGTTTACTGATTGTTGCTGGCCGACGTAATATGCAAATTTATTAAACAAATCGAGGTTGTCAAACAAACAAATAAAAACAACACTGACTTCAGTCGCGATCGACAAACTAACGATGCCATTTTCAAGGGGGGGAAAACGAATGCAAGTGGAAACTGCAATGGAAATCTATCGATTGCGAATCGTAACTACGTTTTCAAATCAATTATATATATATATATATCTATATATGCATATATTATTATTATATTAGCTCTCTCTCTTAACTGTGGTCAATCAAATTGGTTCCATAGTTAGTTTCTTCCTGCAATAGTAAAAGTTGTATTTTATGTGCACAGTGAAAGACTTTAATCTTCAAAGTTTAAAATAAACGCTTAGAATATGCCTGCAAAATTGAAAATATATATTATGTATTATATATATAATATGCATGAACAATGTCTTGGATATTTAAATTTTGTATGTCATTGTTTTGTCTCATAGATTTTCTTTAAAGTTATCTTTTATATCCAGAGTGAATATCTTGTGTTCTTTTTTTATGTAACTTTTGATTGTTTGAAAAGAGAATTTGATTAATATAGCTAAAAATTAGAAATTAATAAATAAGTATAACTATTACTTTTTATTTAAAAATAAATCGAAAATAGAACTTAACTTTTGTGGTGCTAATTTGTTAAATAATTAAAGTAAAAGTAATTTGTTAAAATAATTAAAAGTTGCTTTAAGTTATCGAACTGCAGCGATCTTATAAATTATATCTCTTTGATCTTGGTGTTTCCTTAAGCTAAACTGAAAAATCGTAAAAACAATCACAATAATAACACACCGTAATTTAAATTATGATATACATACAGTATATATGACTGGATCGGACATCTATATGATATGACTGCCATAGAAAGTAGTCGTTGTGAGATGAGATTCGTTGTTAAGAACTCGATGTTTTGATCAAACTCAATAGTAAACTTTGCCTTATTTTGCAATCAGTAAATTAAAAACAACAAAAAACTAATAAATAGATATATGCAATATATTTGTTATGAGTTGCCTGTCATTTGATCTGTACTTGTTTTCAAAATTAATACACAACGCGGTTTCTATTTTCATTCAGTTCTCACAGTCAAGTTACAAGTTGTATCTTTAATCTTCGCAGGTAAACAAAACGCTGCAACAACAAAACTACTTTAATTGAGACCTACAACGAATTCTCGCATCAGCATAAATACGACAACAACAACAACTGAAGTTAGCCCAAATTGAGCACGACGCGTAGCATAGAGGAGAGAAGAGTACAGCAGAGGAGTACTTATAACGGGGCTAGCAACAGCAACAACAACAACAACAAACACAAACACACTCAACTAACCGGGAATCGGTCAAACGAGCACAAGAAGAAGTAGACGACGAAGAAGAAGTAGACGACGACGAAGAAGAAGAAGTAGAGCCACAAAACAGAGTTAAAGATGTCATTTCGTGTTGTGCGCAGCTCAAAATTTCGTCACGTCTATGGACAGTCGCTGAAACGGGAGCAATGCTACGACAATATACGCGTCTCCAAGTCCAGCTGGGACTCCACATTCTGTGCGGTCAATCCAAAATTCTTGGCCATAATTGTGGAGTCGGCGGGCGGCGGTGCATTCATTGTGTTGCCACACAATAAAGTGAGTATTATAATTATTAATCAACTCAGACTCTCCAAAGTAAATTCAACCAAATTTGGTTGCATTGCCTTTAAAATATTTACATATACATATATATATTTATATATGTATGTGTGTGCGTATGGGCCAAAGTATTTTTATATAGACACAATGGAGCCCGGCTATTTATAGGGGATCGCAGTGCAAAATGTTTGCAGCCATTTGCGGGCTTGTTGCCATCTACACAACATCTACACACACACGCACACATCTAGGAAATGACGTCGAGTGATTTGGCATGAAACATGCGCGTGGTTTTTATGCTTATAAATAAAGCCCATAGTTATGAATATATTCTATGCGACCAATCGACGTGCGCTCTCTCTCTCTCTCTCTCTCTCTCTCTGTCTCTCTCTCTCAGACAGTCTCTCTCTCTGTCTCTTTGAGAATAATGTGCTCTCAATTTCTCATTAAACGTATCTGTTGGGCGCACTTTTCGGTTTTGGCCCCCGGCCAACATGACACACCAAATTGTCTAAATTTAACAGCAAACAAATAGAAAAAAATAAAACCAAAAAACAGAATTACAAATAAAATGATATTCTGTATAATCATTGCATTTTGGCCTGGCTTCTGCCGATGCAATCTGTGCCCCATTACTTAAGCGATGGCAAAATGGAAAATTTATTAATTTCCACGAGAACAGTTTTTGGCAGCGCCAAAATCGAACATCCGTTCAGCTGTCACCAGTAGCAGCAGCACCAGCAGCAACTGCGTGGGCAGAATATCTTTATATATATATATATATATATATTTATCTATTTTTTTTTTTTCGGCTACCCAATTTTGAACGCGATCGGTGCGCATTTGGTTAAAAAGTATTTGGCCAAGTGTCTGTTGAATATTGTCTGTTCTAATTGGCCCAAATTTGTATGCAAAATGTGCGCCGCCATCCACGAAAGCTGAAGACACCATGAAGACCACCATCTGCCACCGATTTCTATGTGGTGCCGCTTTCACACGCTCTAATTTGAATACTTTATGGGATTCGAGTCGAATCTGCATCCGAATTTGGTGTGTCAATTAAATGGACACGCTTCATCATTAAAAATATATACTTGTTATTGATGAACGTCTGATTGGGAATAACTTGTTGATTAAATCTGATTAAAGCAACCTCAAACCTGAAACCTTATCCAAAATGTTATAAACTTGAAATTTAATTCATTTGAAATGTGTATTTCAGCAACAGTAAAACATCAGACATAAATATATATATCTATATGTATATACATATCAGACCATTTCTTCGAAATTCTATCAAGTTTAGTTTTATTTAATCTGGTAAACCAAAAAGGCTTTCATTGTGAGTCACTTTCTAATCACATTTCTTGCACATAAATACAGTTAAAACACTCACGTCCACACTTGTATGTACAGTCATGCAAATGATAAATCACTATTCGGCACTTAAGACTCGCAAGCTCAACAAATAATTCGGGGGAAACTCAGGAATTTATGCAAGTGTCTATTTTTCGCACGTGTTTGTTTTTCGACTAATTGGAAACTTTACACAAAAACACCTGCCTGCGCTCGCTCAGATACCCAGATAAGGCGGGAATTGGGCACAGATCTTGACAGCAGGCGACAGGCGTGAAGTTTAGCATTATGAATTGCGAATTGCTGGCTAATTCCAGAAATAAAGCTGTGCACAAATTATGGCAAATGGGTCGGTGTCGTTAATTAGAATTTACATTTGCAAATCATTTCAGGTTGGACGCATTGCGGCGGATCATCCACTGGTGGGCGGACACAAAGGTCCAGTGCTAGACATTGCGTGGTGTCCGCACAATGATAATGTGATCGCATCCGGCTCTGAGGATTGTGTGGTCAAGGTGTGGCAAATACCCGACGGGGGACTCTCGCGCACACTCACCGAACCCGTCGTCGATCTGGTGCTCCATCAGCGGCGCGTCGGTCTGGTTCTATGGCATCCATCGGCGCTCAATGTTCTGCTCACTGCCGGCTCCGACAATCAGGTGAGCATCATTTGGCTTGCAATTCAATTTTTGGGTCTTTAACTGATACGTCATTTGGCATTGCAGGTAGTCATCTGGAATGTGGGCACTGGCGAGATACTCGTGCACATTGACTCGCATCCGGATATTGTGTACAGCGCCTGCTTTAACTGGGACGGCTCCAAACTGGTCACCACGTGCAAGGACAAAAAGATACGCATCTATGATCCGCGCAGCGGTGAACTGGAGAGCGAGGCGATGTGCCATGAGGGCTCCAAGGCGACACGGGCGATCTTTTTGCGTCACGGCCTGATCTTCACCACCGGCTTCAATCGCAGCTCGGAGCGTCAGTATTCGCTGCGCGCCCCCGATGCCCTCAACGAGCCCATCGTCATGGTCGAATTGGACACGTCGAACGGTGTCATGTTCCCGCTCTACGATGCGGACACAAATCTGATCTATCTGTGCGGCAAGGGCGATTCTGTGATTCGTTATTTCGAGGTGAGTCGCTGCCGCTCATTGATTGGTATACATTGATGAACGAATGCTTTGCAGGTGACGCCGGAGCCACCGTTTGTGCACTACATCAACACATTTCAAACGCCAGATCCGCAGCGTGGCATTGGACTGATGCCGAAGCGAGGCTGTGATGTGACCACCTGCGAGATAGCCAAATTCTATCGCCTCAATAACAATGGTCTCTGCCAGGTCATTTCGATGACGGTGCCACGCAAGTCCGATCTCTTCCAGGAGGACTTATATCCGGACACACTGGCCGAGGATGCGGCCATCACTGCCGAAGAATGGATTGCCGGCAAGGATGCCGAGCCGCTCACCTTCTCGCTCAAAGTAAGTGGCACCAGTTGCGATTGCTGCATCTCTCCACACATTTGGAATACAGCGCTCATCGTGCTGCGGCTCCGTCGTTGCTTCCCTGCTTCGGCGCCACAGTTGCGCTCCACCCACTGAGCAATAGAGCGTACAAGGATCCTGATCTTCTGTAAATTGGCCATGGGCCAAAAACAATTAGTGTATTCCAAAACGGCTTGCTGTAGTTTGCTTTCCCGCAACCCGCGTGGCTACCACAAAATTTGTATTATGCTTGGATGCGCTTGCCTCTCTCTTGTGTTCCCTTATCATCAATTTTATCTACGTTTGTCTGTCGTCTCGTCAGCCTTTTGCCCCAGCCAACAACACACACACACACGCACACATACTCAAACACTCTGTCAATACGCACTAACGGCAAAAACACACACATGCAAAGATACTCCTTGATGACATCTTTTTGACATTGATAAAGGATTCGTATTGTGAAATCTCTTGAGCAAATCTGTCTCTATAAACTACACAAATAATTTATTAAAACTAGCTGAGGTATTCCTCTACCTATTATCTTTGACAAAACCTTAAACTGCTTGACAGGTAAGACTAGAGATCAAAATCCAACCGATAAAGACATAAAAATCCTAAATGATCAAGTAGTTTCCTTTTATTACTTCTTTAATAATATTTAATATATTATTAAAAAAAAACCCAAATAAAACTAATTTAATAATTCTTCTTTAAAAGCCCCATATGAACCTTGCCTTTAATAAAATGATATTAGCCAGCTGCATAGAGAACTGAAAACGTTCATTCTTTTCACTCAGCTATCGCTGCTCAAAGCTAAACGGCTTTTAGAAACTCTTTTGTAAAGTAATGTGAAGATTATATTTTATGAACCCGTTCGATGGGATTGTCACCAAGTTCATTATGTAGAATATTCGGCCATGGTACACACAACCCACAAAAGAAAACATATGCAATCAAAAAATTTGACCAGCTTACACACACTGCCTTAACACGCACGCAGCGTGGCGCTTGTTGTTGTGTTCTTTGTTCTTTGTTGTAATGTAAAACGAACAGTGATTCTAAAAAGCCTAATCAGGATCGCGTTTCCATTGTGCAGGGCGGCTACGTATCCTCGTCGGGCGGAAATACGCTCTCCGTCAGCAAGAAGGCCAACATTCTGAATAAGACGTCCGCATCCCGAGGAGGTGGCGGCGGTGGCAGCAGTTATGCTGGTGGCAATCATTCATCCGCGAACAACAACGAGTCCAGCGACGGTCCACCACCAGCGATATTCACGGTAACATTTAGTTATAGATACATTTTTTTATATATAGCAATTGTTTACATTTGAATCGTCTGCTGCTTGCAGGAAAAGGATCATCGCAATATTCTGGATGAGATACGCAAGCTGAAGGCGATCATTGTGAAGCAGGAGAATCGCATTCGCGCCCTCGAGGCCAAGGTCTCTGCGGCGGCCACCGGCGATGAGACGGATGCCCGCAATAGCAATAAAAACGGCAGCGGACAGTCCTCTGCTGCGGCGTCGGCGGCGGCGGCAGCAGCGGAAAGCAGCAGCCATGCTAGTGAAAGTGCCAATGATCATGCTGCGTCCACATCCGCAACAAATGCGGACAACGATGAGGATTAAACGGAGCTGGAGAGGAAGAGTAACAGCTGCAGAGAGAAGAGGAGCACAGGAAATGAAAGCTGATACTACAGAGAGAGAAAGAGTTTTCGGGAGAGAGTAGAGAGAGAGTGAGAGAGAGAGAACTGCTTGAAGAAGCTCGTCGTTATCGTTTGAATTTCTCTAAATGGAAAATTATGTTTATATTTTGTACACGCTAAATGAGAGTCGTCGTCTATGATTATGATTTCGATTATTTATTTTATATAATTTAATATTAGGTCTTTTTACGAGCGAAATGAGTTGAGCGTAATATAAATGAATAACAAAACAAAACAAAGCAAAACACACACAGCAATCAAAGCAGAACGCATATAACATATATACACACAATATCCTGCCAAAAATATATAGTGAAACCTAACGAACTACCTACAAGTTGCGCCCAAAATCGAATCGGAAGTTAAAAGTCAAAGTCCCCATCCATCTGGTTGGGTTGTCTTTGCTTTCGAGCTGTGTTTTTTTGTGTAACGCAAAATGTGAAATTGTTGTAAATTTAACAAAAAACAAAAATCAAAATATATAGACTAAATTGCAATCATCTAAAATTAATGCTATTTACCTACCTACCAATTTACATACTTTTTCTATACATATACATATATACTATATATATATATATCAATATATATATGATTACCCTAATCGAGGCAATATATTCATGACAATAGCTTTTATAACAAACCATTAGGCAAAAAGAGAATGGAAAAAAATTGACTTAACTTGTACCCCATACCGCCGTCGCTTTCATAAAACATTTTTCTCGTTCTAACTAATAATAAGTTGTATTTTGTAATAATAAATGAAAGAAAACCAACGAACCATTTTCAAAATACTGTCGATATTGTATTTCCAATTGTTGAGATAAAGTACGCCTAACGATTGTGTAACGATCAAACGAAAAACAAAAACAAAAATTGTAAGAGTGCTGACTATAAATACCTAGAATATTCTGTATAAATAATTTACAATTTGATACGGAATAAACTATTATACAACAACAATATACAGTTTTTATTCATTTGAATTAACGACTGTTAAGATCGATTGCAGACGGTCACATAGATAAATTAATATGGCCAGACTGTTTCATTTTTGATTGCAAATATTGCCATATTATCATATCGATATTATGTATCGGAATCATTTCAAAATATCGCATATAAATTGATCAACGTAACAGATGTCGCCATCAAGAGCAGCACCACAAATTTTGTATACTTATTGAACTGCCCCAATCAGCATTCGTATGAAACTCCAGCATTCAAATCTGTATTCGAAAGCGGTAAATAAAAGTAAACAATAATCCACTTAAGCATAAAAGTCGGGAAGTAGTAATGAACAGCTCTAAGCAATTTGAAAATTTTATCTGTGTTTCGATTATTTCATATTGAACACCCCATTTATTCAGAGCAGTTAACATTTCATTTAATCTTATAAACTCCTTGAGCCACCCTGTTGATTGGCATTCGCCCTTTACGTAGACGATTGACAGCTTACTGGTGCAATTTAGTTATCGATATATCGATACACTACACACTTGTCTTATTTGTTGTTCGGTTTGCGCCACTACAAAAGCCCAACATCGGCAGTTGAGCGAATCATTCGTGTTTCCCTCGTCTTTCGGTTGAGCAGAGCAAGCAAGGCAAGCCCCACAAGAGCGGGCCAGAATATAAGTTTTGCACGCGCATTCAAAAAGCTACAAGAAAATACAAGTCCAGAATTATTTAATCGGTTTAACGTGTATTTTGCAATAGTGAAATAATACAAGCAAGCAAGGAAGCAAAATCTGGTATTGTAGCATCAAGAGAAGAAATGCATTTGGAGTTACATAAGCAAATGGCAGAGTGCAAAGTCATTTTTGAAATAATCGTCTAACGAAAACGAAGCAATTTCGTTCGTCACTTCACATTGAAATACATTTCATCAGCCAAAAAAAAGATTGATAAATATATATATATACATATATATGAACGAAGCTAAAGCAAAAGCAAGAGCAGAGTAACAAATAAAACTGAATTGAATTGAACTGTCGAATTTGCCAAAGAGAAAATATGTGCACGGCAACAAAACAAAGGCAGAAATGTTTAAGTATACGCAATAACAGAAGCAACAACAGCAACAGCAGCAGCGAAAAGAACGACAGTAAAAAGTCAGCGCCTAGCAACAAGACAAATTTAGGAGCAGCAACAGCCGCCATGTGCAACGAGTTTCTCTGATTTGCCGTTAACAGAGCCAAACTCAAACTCAGCCAAAGATTGTAAATATTTAAACATTATATAATATATAAATAGTACAATTTGCCAGTCGCACAAGCAAAAGTAGAGAATATTATTGTTGTTGTAACAATAATAAATAAAAATTAATCGCAAGTCAAAAGAAGCACAAGCAACAAAATGAATACAAACGCAGCACCAAGCAGCAGTCCCGCAAAATTCAACGTGTTTGCTCATTTGAAATATGAGCATCTGGTAGCCGGCGTCTCCGGCGGCGTTGCATCAACGCTAATCCTGCACCCATTGGATCTCATCAAAATTCGCTTTGCTGGTGAGTACTGAAAATTAAGCACACCACGAGATTCACTGTAAGCAGCTGCACATAGCTGTAAACTGTTGAATTTTAAATGTAAACAACCCGATCTGTTAGTTTCTAACTGTAGTAATCTGCATACGCAGTCAGATCAGGGCATGGTGTAATGATAGTTCTGCGTCGACTGTTAAGGCATCTGTTAAGTAGCTGTTAAGCAGCTGCTTAGCATTTTTTTTTGTTGACAGTTCGCTGGTTTTTATATATTTAAATTGTTTATTTAATGTCAACTAAACTTCAGTCGACACAAAAAATTACAAAAGGTAAAAATAATAAAATGCGAAATGGTCCCAGAAACCCAGACAAAAAATGAAATTTCAGTGGCTAAATTGCACTTGCAGATTGTAGCAATTAAATTAAATTAAAACTGATACCTCAACGTAGCTCACCTATAAAAAAAGACCTGTAGCATTCAGATTAGACTCAATAGTTTGAAAGAAGCGAAAAAGTCTGCGATTTGTAGCACTGTCTGACTTTTGTCTGGCACGTGATTGAGTCAGCGAGCCAATTGCGTCTGGGCTGTATTTGTATTCCGCTGCAATTGGCTGCAGTCTGAATTATCGTTCGCATTTCCCTCGACTCTTATCGCACACAAAAGTTTCCATTGAAATATTGTATGCGGAAAAACTACAACAACAACTGCAACTACAAAAAAGTAATCCGCACGTGGAAGTCTTAAAATAATGATGTTTACACAGTATTTATTATTGTTGTTGATGATTTGCACCTCGAGTTGCCAGGCTGACGTTAATTCATTGGCGTATTTTGACAGTCACGAAAACAATTTTAATTTTAAAACACTCGCAAACTTGTGCCTGATTATGAGCGCTGATAAGCTCATAAGTTGATAGCGAGCAGTAATCAAGTCGATTCTAGAATTAGCGCAAAGCACACGCCCCCAAAAATTCTTATTGTTTTTAAAGACCCAACTTTTGAATACAATTCAGATATATATATATATATTTATTTGTAATCGATTTATAGTGCAGTTCAAAGCTCCACAATAATTGTTCAGCTCGCAATAACAGATATTGTTTGTTGCATTTATTATTCAATAATTGTCAGCTGTTGTTTTGTTGCGAATATGTACTCTATTTATATACATATGTGTGTTTATTGAGTCTCGTATCAACTTTTGTGCATTTATAGTTGTCCTCGTTTAGACTTGTGCGCTGCATCGGTCTACATTATTATTTCCGTGATTCAGATTTTTCCAATAACATCAACCACACAAACAACAACAGGTTTACTTTAAGAAATTAAACTTTGTTTTGTTATTTTGCTTTAACTGTTTAGTTTAATTGTGAAAAGTGTGTAAATATGTACAGATTGGTATGAATATGCATATTTATCAAAGAACCCTAACAATAACAGCAAATTAGGTTGTTTATGTGAAAAATGTGCAAAACAAGTGAAGAAGCAGCAGCTCCGCTCCTTTAATAACACAGCACACACTGACGCCATCTATTGCCCAGAACATGCATAAACTTTATCTATATGTATATATATATAAATATGCGATACGATTTTATGACGCATCTATCTGGGGGAAAAACAAATGCGAACGTCAGCGTTTTAAATTGCTGGCCGAAACTTGTTTATCTTTATTTTTTGTTTTTGGCATCACGTGAGCAACGTGTTGTGTGTCTTTTCTTGTGTGTTGTCTGTTGTGTGTTGTGACTGTACATTGAGCGTTTTGCTTAACGGCAACTGTCGCAACTGTCAGTTTATATGTCTATATATGTATGTATGTATCTTCATGTATATCAAACTGGTTCCCAATATAAAACTCCAGTTGTTGCCAAGTGCGCAGCTGTCATCGTTTTATTTAGTTTGCTTTTTATTGCTCGCAAACATACTTTACAATTATTGCTGATCTAAGGCCGCAATCAGCTGTTCTTCATGTGTATATATTTACACATCTGTTGTTGGGTAGAAGTCAAAGTTTATTGGAACATTCATAATTTATTGGGCAAATATATTATCATTTCATATCATGCTAATAAATGAGAACGTTTCAAGTTTAGTGTGAAAAAATAAAAATATGATTATCAAATCTCTCACGTTATATTTCTGTTTGCTATAAATACAAACGATTTGTGGTAATTTATGAAATATATCACTTATACATTAAAATTGTTGCACAAATTATGATGTTCTTTGTCTCTTTTCTGGAAGGTGATATTTATTGCCTTTTTAAGTTATGTGTACATGTTATCTAATAAGCAGATAAAACTATATCACAATTATTATCATTTTTGATTTGTGTACACGAGCCGTGTACTTTGCACCGATTTCGAGTTCTTGCTCAAGGTCAAACAAGAGTCAGCAGCGGCGACTGCTGTTGTTGTGCGCGTGTTTTGCTAAAAATAAACTATTGCTGATCTGATTAACGGAGAGCCGGAGAGCGAGAGACAGCGACGAGCCCCCTTTTGTGGCTTGTTGTCAGGACAGAAGATCTGTCGAGAAGTCTCGCAGTGTCATACCAAATTTTATTAGCTATTTGTTGTTTTCCACACACCTACTTATATATATATGCAATACATTTATGAATAAGTATAGACAAAAGATTAGTCTCTGCGTGCTAATGGCCTGTGCCTTCTGCTGATCAGCAGCCGTAGCAGCAGCAGTCGATGTCGTTGCTTTTTTCTGCTGGGTTCTCGCTTATCACATCCGCCGTTGCGACCAATTAACGCTATCTACATGTTGGCCGCGAAAACAAATTGTTGCTGTTGTTATGTCGGCCATTAGCCAGGGCTTGTTGTCAACAACAACAACAACAACCACAACAACAATCGCAACAAAAACAATTGATTTAGCGTACAGTCTCAGATACTCCGAAAAAAAAATAACAAATTCACATTCAACTGGTTTTCACTTGACTCGAGACAAAGTCTTAGCTTTTATAAATATGTATGTCCCTCGCTGAAGGCCAAAGTCTGGGGGTCTTTAGCGTTAGCACTTGTAAAAATGAGAGAACATGTATCACTTACGAGTTTTGTTTGATTTCTTTGGTTTCTGCAGTTAACGATGGCCGCACGGCTACTGTGCCACAGTATCGTGGATTGGGCAGCGCATTCACCACCATATTCCGGCAGGAAGGTTTCCGTGGTCTCTACAAGGGCGTCACTCCAAATGTCTGGGGCTCCGGCTCCTCGTGGGGCCTCTACTTCATGTTGTAAGTTAACTTAAATTGAATGGACGCTTGACTTCGATTAACGCCTATCGTTTATCCCACTTAGCTACAACACCATCAAGACATTCATTCAGGATGGCAATACAACGATGCCGCTGGGTCCCACCATGCACATGCTGGCCGCTGCCGAATCAGGCGCTCTTACGCTCCTCCTAACGAATCCCATTTGGGTGGTCAAAACGCGTCTCTGTCTGCAGTGCGATGCGGCAAGCAGCGCCGAATACCGTGGCATGGTGCATGCCCTCGCCGAGATCTACAAAACGGAGGGTGTGCGTGGTCTCTACAGAGGCTTTGTGCCCGGCATGCTGGGCGTGTCGCATGGCGCCATTCAGTTCATGACCTACGAGGAGATGAAGAACGCCTACAACGAGTACCGCAAGCTGCCCATCGATACCAAACTGGTGTGTATATATAATCATGTGAATGACATTAATGAGCTGTTTAACATCACATGACCGAAACGCGGCTGGCATACGTTCCCATATGCATATATCATTATATATATATATATCTATATAGATATATGTATATGATGACGCCAGTTGTGTTTTTTGGCAGCTGTTCAACAGCCAAAAATTTAATGGCCTCGCTCTCGATATATATTTGACTAAACTTTGCCCACTTTCTGCTTATCCCATGACAACAGGCGACCAGCGAATATTTGGCATTTGCTGCCATGTCGAAACTGATTGCCGCGGCGGCAACCTATCCATATCAGGTGGTGCGTGCACGTCTGCAGGATCATCATCATCGGTATAGCGGCACCTGGGACTGCATCAAACAGACTTGGAGGTACGAACGCATGCGTGGTTTCTATAAGGGACTCGTGCCGTACTTGGTCCACGTAACGCCCAACATTTGCATGGTCATGCTCATTTGGGAGAAGCTGACCAGCTAAGGCGCCTAGAGTATTAACCACTACACTACACACTACACTCTACACTACAAATTAGAATCTTCATTAGCACTGCATATATAATAATGTATAAACATATGCACATAAATATCTGTCTTAAGTTTCCTTTAGAACAGTGCAGTTAAATGACAAGCGGATCATATATATTTGTATTATTTGTATGATTTCAATTTAAGTACAATAAGTCAAATCTAAAATTTAAGTTAATTCCATAGCTAGGACTTGTAACTGCTATCTTTATATATTATTTAAAGAAACTTGAAAAGTAATTGTGTTGTGAAATCAAATTTCAACAATTTGCACATAGTTTATAGTTTAGTTAAATTATTTATTCAATAACCGCATTGTAAATATGATTGTAGTTATGCATAGTTTTCGCTTTAGCAAAAAGATTCTTCATAATTTTGCAAATCTTGACATTTACTATGAGCACATAAGAATTACACTTAAAAATGTGAAAAAACAAGCATTGTGAACAAAACAAGAACACACGAAGATAATCGAAAAAAAGATAAAAAGAAAAGAAAACAAACTAAACAAAGATAACAAATCTAGGTAAACAAGATAAAAAGAAAAGAAAAGAAAAAAGTACATACACATTAAAATTGAAATGAAACCCAACGAGAGTTTCCAAGTTTTCCTCAACACGAGTCTTTTTCATTTCGCCAAAGGCCGCTTTCGCCTCGCACTCGAACAACAACTCGCTCATCAGCCGTAGTAAGTAGCTAACTAAGATCGCTAATTGTGCAGAATCTCTTTGCTAAGCTTAAACTCTCGGGTCGGTTAACTGTAAGTAGCTAACCAGTGCCAGCAGAGACACTGTTTTCCTCTTAATCACCACGCCTACTTCAACACGCAATTGCTCTTCTCGTTACAGATACGAGGGCGCTGCCGGCTTCTACAAGGGTCTCAAGGCGAACCTGATACGCGTGGTGCCTGCTTGCATGATCACGTTCCTGGTGTATGAGAACGTATCACATTTTATGCTGGCGCGGGGGAAACGCAGAGCGGCAGAGAGGCAGGTCACCAAAGCAGATCCAGAAGCTGAATCCTAATGTGTTGATCCTTGAACGTTTCAGCTAGCTGTTATTTATTATTATTTTGTAATCATAATTCTGTCAATTACTAAAATTCACTACTAATACTGTGTGTGTGCTATTCCTGACTTAGTAAGTAAAGCCTTTAAGTCTTTAGAAATGTACATGAATATTACGATAGTGGAAACGATATTCCTACGCAGAATGCATTGAGTTACATTAAAATATTTTACACAATTCTGTAGGAAAGGGTACACAATGTATCCCTTAAATCTTTACCAAAATGCCAGTGAGAGTCGTGCTTTAATAAGACTAAGTAAGGAACATTAATTATAATTTTGTATAACACATTTTATAAATGGCTGTTAATAATATAGTAAATGTTATAACATCACAATTTAATACGGACTTTTCTTCTGCATATGTGAATATCTAAACTATATAAATAGAATTTGGAATCAAGGCTGCCACCTTCCGTACATAGAGTTACCCATTCTCAATGCATACTTTCTTGCCTGCTTGCGGTGATAACGGTAAGTTTCATATGGATTAGTTAATGTTTTTTGAACGACAATTTAAATTAACAGTGAAAAAGCTTACAGTAGGACAGAGTGAGCTTAAGCTTGCTGAGTGGCGCGTGATTTCCAAACGGTTATTTGGATAACCGTTTCGGTTATATGTTGTGCTTTTCTTGAAAGCTTTCGTTCAGTTCACAATTGAACGCAACGGTGAACAGACGTGCTGCGGTTGTGTTTGGTTGTTGCTGTATAATATGTAAAGTGAATCGAGCGTCTTTTTAACGTGTCTGTTTTTTGTACGTGTGTGTGAACTTAATTTGTTGTGATACGAAATTAATACCAAGGAAAAACAACAAAATATAAACAATTAACGATAATAAAGGCTTATGCAACCGATTGACTTTTATTGAGCAAATTTTTAGATGTGCTCCACTTCTGGCGAAGAAACCAGTTTACCATTGTTTACCTTCGCCTGACATTTGGCGCTGGTCAAAAGTGCAGCAATTGACCAAAAACGCGAGTTCAATAAACTTGCAAATAAAGTGCAGTCGAAAGCGCCAAGCCAAGACAGAGATAACCTTACCCATATTGCATTTAAAAATAAATTAAATTGTTTTTGATAAAAGCGCGTCAAACGACGACGAAAAAGTTCAAGTGCAAGCAGCCATCCAAATTACCGTTTAACCAACGGGCGCCAGCTTCAGTTTGAGACAAAGACAAAGACGACAAAGCGAAAGCGAAAGAGAGAGAGAGAGAGAGTGAAGAGAAGCAATTGAGAACATTTTGGAAACCACATGTTGAGCTGAATGCCGTTAGAAGTGCAGAGAAGTAATTTGAATAAATGATAAAACACAAATTAAACAAAACACTTGCCCAATCAACACCAAGCAAATATATGTAAATGTATACTTTGGAGTGAGTGTATGCGTGTAGATAAAGCGCGTGCGAATGACCTTGAGTGAAGCAGCAGCAAACACACAGAGACAGCAAAAACAGTGTGATAAAATACAAACACAGCAATTTGTCAAAGTCTAAAGAGCAACAACCCATTTCCCCCCCTTACAAAAAAAAACTGTCATTCGCCACTGCATGGCAACCAGTGCCATACGCTGCAGCGTTGTCTCATCCTCAGCCGGACGCCGCAATCTCTGCGACTCCTCCCAGGAGGAACTCAACGTTGTCACGCCTGCACTCAAATCCAAATCCAAGTCCAAGTCCAGGTCCTCCACTCATATAATTAAGCATCAGCGGCTCGACGACAAGTGGCCCGTAGAACATACGCATCAACCGCTGAGCACCGTCTCCCTGGGCACGCTCAGTGCCAAGGTGTCGCCCATATTTGCGAGGCGCCTCGTGCAGGTAGAACAGCAGCTGAGCAGCTCCCATTTCTCACTACGCAGCGCGAATCCAGCTTACGTGAAGCGGCAGCCTCAAATTGATCTCAGCGCCGTTGAGGCGCTCAGCACATTGGAAGTTAGGATGCCAGCGGAAAGGCCCGGCATGGATATCAATCGGAATAACGGCTATCTATATAATGGGGTGAGTGATCTGAAACTGAAACTGCAATTCCTGCGCATAATGCTTGAGTGAGTGCATTTCACTCTGTAGCTGAAATAGATGAGAAAATATATTATTAAACTAATAATTGCATTTTAAATATGATTGTTGTTAATAATCTTGACATATATTATGAACACACCAAATGTGAAACAAACAGAATTGTGCTAAGGGAACACGAAGATAATCCCAAAGTAGATAACAGGAAAGCAAACAAAACAGAGAAATCAGATATAGGTAAACAAAAAAGTAAATACACATTAAAATATGAGAAAATATGTGCTTGGCATAACGAAAGTAATACTTTTTCGAACAAAGTTTCACTTTATCTAAGCTTTAGTTTGATAACTCTTGTTTTTGAGATTCGTTCGTATTAAGAATGTAAATTGTACTATAAAATCATTTAGTTCACAATTTTATAGACACATATAAAAGTAGCAAATCACCCTCGAATTATGTGAACAAAAATTAAAGAAATAAATACATTTCGCTGGTATTATCCAAGTTTTGCAATAATACGCATGAAAAGCTGTCAGTCAGTTGTTTGTTTGTTTGTTTTTGCCTTGTTGTTATTGTTGTTGTTGCATCAATAAAATGCCTTAAGCTACCCTCCCCCAACCCACAAGTACAAGACAATTGTGACAGTATTTGTCATATGTGGTTTTTGTTGTTTGTAGTTAACTATTCAAAAGTTGTCTTGAATAACAATCAATAAATTCAAATCACGGTCAGCTTTGCAAAAAAAAAGCAAAAAAAACCTGATAGGATTTAAAGCTGAACAACTGAAAATTAGAATTGGCACAGCTGCAATAAAAATGTGTTTCTGTGAAGTTCGCGAGAACTGGTAGCTTTTGCAATTGAGTGCTGAGAAAATCCAATGCATATATTAAACGTAAATCTAATTAAACTATAAACCTATTGAATATTAAGCGGGATTTGTCTTGTTTGTATATTCAAAATCATGTGGGGAAACTTTTCAAGCTTATGTCACAACAATTTCCACTGGTATTAAGAGGAAATGAAAACTGAATTGTTGCCTCACTTAAGGCCAAATAAACACAACCATAAAACCAAAGACAGATGCCCGGACGGACAGAGAGCACAGAGGCACGTGTTATGGGCAATGGAATTTCACTCTCGATACTCGCTATGCTATAGTAAATATATATATATATATATAGATGTATATAGATATATGTACATACGTAGATACTTATGGGCACAAGCCGGTCGAGGTTGGTTGCCCGACAAATTGGCTGCTTCGCTAATGTGTGTGTGTGTGTGGGTGTGTCCGGGCAATACTTAAGCGATTGCTAGTAAAAGATATGCTTTGTTGTACGTATTATGGGAACTAACTTGGGCAGCCAGCCCAACTGTGTCCACTTTGCTATCGTTTTCACAACGTTTCACGTCACGTTTTGGGGTCAATTATTTTGTACGCAAAGCGAAAGTGTGTGGACGAGGGGAGCTGTCCCTTGTCTTAATTAAAGACTAACAATTATAAATTGTTTAACATTTTTGGCGTGAATCAATTTTAGCGAACGGGTTTCATTTATCACTCACTGCATTTTTTGCGTTTCTGGCTGAAAAACAATCTAATCATTTTGATACTTTTGATTCTTTTTGCTCCGATGACTCGACATTGAGATAAGATACCGTTGGCAGAGTATCAAGTTTGCGATACCAGGGCCAGTAAAATTCATTGAGCAATCATTGGAATATGGAATCAGTATACAAATTCCTATTTTTGGTTTTCATATTTCTCGTACAATCTGCCAGTCCAGTTTTGCGCATCGTTGCCAGCTTCCCGACTCCAACAAGCCAATGCACTTTGTTGTCCCGTTTGTTGTTGTTGTTGTTGCTGCTGCTGTTTTTTTTATTGTAGCTGTGATTGCATTTCAAATGTTAATTACTGGTGCCGGGCTGCAGCTGATAATGCAATAACAATCAACATTCAAATGCGGGCACATTGAAATGAACAGCACGCAAGGTGCAGCTTGCAACTCACTCGATTGCATATTCAATATCTGCATTATTTATTATCCATCCACATGAGCAGCACACATAATGCCAACCACTGGCAAGGTCACATTTCGACCAAACATACATGAAAAAAAAAACAAACTGTAGAAAGTTTATTTTTGTACATACGTTCAACCTTACATCATAAACTATACATTTTCCACGCTTTCCATTCTTAAAATTCAGACTACAATTTTTGCAAATTTTACTAAAAACAATTTACATTTGTTTTCCTTTTTATACTGTTGCTTTTTTTATTGTGAAGCATATCCAAAGGCCTCAGCTTATAAATGTTATCTGCTGATGTTCAATAAATCTCCTTACTTCGCAGATTTAGAATATATATAATTTACATTTCCATGGCGTTGCTCAAGTTCATTACTGGGAAATGATCAAACAAAGCGAATCAAGTTTTCTCCACAAATTTAAGCTTGCTTTCATCCATTAAAAAGCGAAATAATTGCTGATTTTCACAGAGAGAGAGAGGGAGAGAGTGGGTGGTTTGGGTGGGCGTTAAGCATTGCATATTTATGGCGCCACAAGCAAAACCGTTGCATACACTCATGGGCCACGTGCAGCACAACAGAAACAACAGAAAACGGAAAACGTAACAAGAAACCCTTTTCCCTCTAAGCAAGGTAGCCGAAATTTGTTGGGGCGTGTATACCTTAATTTGAAGTTGCATAACCACGCCCCCTATTATTATTGTTACGCTCTAACGCCCACAAGCTGCCGTGCAGCATGCAAGCAGCTGTCAAAATATGTGTTCGCGATTTCTGTCCGGGAGGGAGACGGAGCAGAAAAGGAGATGCCACAGATTGTTTTCGACTGGTGGTTTACTCGAACTTTGGCAAAAGAGCCAAACACATGTTTTAGTTCAACTTCAAATCGTGACCTGTGCGAGACTTGCTAGCAGTATTCCATATATGTATCTAATGCTATGTTTGTCTGCTCCACTTTCAGCGATATACATCGACGCCCGGCGTATCCGTGGGGCTTTTGTTATTGGGATTTGGGGTCGTTGGTAATTGCAGCGCTTGAGTAAAATGCTTCGCATGCCACTGTGTATCCTTTGCCAGGACTGCAGGCTCTCTCCCTTTTATTGCCGATTGCGTGCAAACATTTTCCCAGCACAAAAGAATTTCCGCTTAGCACAGAAAGTGAATTTCTAATGGTTTGCTTTTTAATGGCCTTTGGTCGTAAAACTGTGGTATTTAAATGTGAAACAGGTGAAAATGAAGATGTCTCTGGAATTTCTTTGAAACCTTTTTAAAGAGCAAACTGAACTTGTTAATCAAAGGGATGGCAAACTTTGTCAGAAATTATTTACAACTTTAAAGGTTAGCTTGGTAGTCATCAACCGGACTGCCACAAAAATAATGAATGCTTGAGACACCAAATTGTAAAGATAAATTGATTTATACCGATCGTAAATCAGGTTTTAACATTTTGTTCTATTTATTTACAACAATCGAGTTGAGATGTCAATTGACAATGAGATTGTCAATGAAGCTGAAATTAAGGGAGAAAAGATTCACCGGAGAAATGTGACTGGTTCCTTTGGAATAACTTTTTAATAGAACCAATTGCTTGAATGCAAATTTCAATTTACGTTTTTTTTTCTATAGGTAGATTTCCATTCCCTCCTCTCTCTGTTTCTTTCTCTCTATCTTTATCTCACACGACTGGCTTTGTCTTTTAAACTCTCTCCCTATCTCGCTATTAATCCTGATCTCCTTATAAATAATTCTCTGTATCCCGCTATCTTTAATTTATCAACATTCTTCCTCTGTTTCTTTTTCACACAATCTGTATCTCCCTCTCTCTGTCTCTTTCTCTCTCTCCTTCACTTTATCTTATGCGATCTCTCTCACTACGAATCTGCCTTTTTGACTGTCTTTACCGCACTAACTTCCTCTCCCTCTTACAAATGACCTGTCTCTTTCTACTTTACTTACTCTATCCCTCATCCATACTTGCAATCCCCCTTAAGCCTACTCAAAAGAGTAAAGCCTACATTTAAGATTTATTTATTACAGGGTATGCTGATGACAAAACTGTATTCTTGGTTAAAACAACAAGTCTATATTCCATTTATCTTTCATCTCGTCTCGACTCGTCTCAAGTTGCGTTCTGCATAAGGAGTTTTCACAAATTGGAGCACATTACGCATATGTGCGCTGAGTGAACCGATTATGCAAATGGAGTGTGAAGAGAAAAGTTGTTGTGTTTTTCACGCATTTCACTTTTAATGAGGAAGCATTGCAAATGTGAAACATATACAGATAGCACTTGATCTAGTCATATGTACTGACAGACAGTCATCTGACTGTGAGAACCGCAAAATCTAAGCGTGCATTGTTTGATTTTGATACACCTATGAGAATATAGAATCTGGTTGTATTTAGACAGCTCTAAATTGAGCGTAGCTGCATTGGATTACGTGAGATTCGAAATGACCTCAGACAACTACGAGTATATATATATATATATACATCTACATCTAAAACTGGTGCTATAGCTTCCGCATGCTCTCTAAGCGCACTAGTATTCCATATTCCGCTGCGAGTAATTGTATATACGCGATATGTCTTTATTGTGGCTTACCACGTTTTGTAATAAGCGTAATTCTATATATGCTCACATACATATGCTGGCAAATCTGTGGCACCGAACCGAACCAAACCCACCAAACACAACCCAGCCATGCATCCACCGCCCACATTAACGATGCGATTCTTGAGCGACTCTTTGACGCGAATCCTCAGCTCGAAAAGGAAGCCAGCGAAGTGCGTGTCTTGCATTTTTGCTGCCTCACTGAGTTTTTGGAAGCCAATCCACACAGGTCAGCCACAGTCAGTCAGTTTGTTGCCTCATTGAAGGCTACTCTACAGTGATAACTCGCTTATTTATATATTTATCAAAGTCAGTTGACACAAAAAACTACAAAAAGTAGAAATAGATTAAATTAAAAGTAAAATGAAAATAATTAATTATTGGATTACTTCGCTTTTGGTAGTGATTGCAATAATTATAACCATTACTATTTCAATATAAATTACTAAGCCAAAGCAATTCTAGTCTCCAGCAAGTTGTTAGTCTCGAGGGTTCACTGTGGCACAGTTGCTTAGCCCTCACGCCTCATTGGCCCGTTTTAGATGATCGTCACTGTTGCTGCTCATGTCAGATCAATTGCACGGCCTTGAGCCGAATGACAATCGGCTGTGCAATTGGGGAGCAAGTACGTCATGTGCTGCTGGCTGCAACAGGCGCATTCATTATGCAGCTGCTGCTGATGCTTCTGCTGGCCAAGATCGCTGCAGACAGGCGCTGGCTTTGTGCCGCAAACGATTGATAAGCAGCCGTCTTGGGATTGGGCTGGCACATTCAACAGCAGCGGCTCCAGTGCACAGTGTTGGTAAGTGCGCCAAAAACTGATTGACTTGGTCATTGTGCCTGTGCTTGTGTGTATGTGTGTGTGTGTGTGTTTGTGTAGTGTAATGTAAAACCATTTTGGGCGGGTTCACCACAAGGGGAGCTGGTTGAGGGGGTGGCGGCATTGCACAAATTTATATAAACCCAGTTGGCAGCTATTCGAATTTCAGTTTGCATTTGTTTCGAGTTCGTTGCGGTTGCCACGTTTGCTGTTACCAGAAAAACTAAAGAGAGGCAACAGTTCAAGCTAGAAGGGATGTCCTGCATCCCTTGCTGAAACCCACCGAAACCGAACGACAGAATTGTTAGATAACAAGTGTAGTATTTACGACCCTATTTCATTTTCCTATCCCCCGACCGAACCCTACGCGACAAGTGCCTTATAATATGCAAAACGCTGACAACAAAGCGAGCAACAGCCAATCGACTAAAGCAGAGCAAGACGAAGAAGCAGCAGCATCAGCAACAGCAGCAACAGTTGATGAAGAGGATCAGCAGCCGGAGCTGGAGGAAAAGTTAGATGAGGAAGTGCCGCAGTCAAAATTAAAGACACGTTCACGCTTCTCCGCCGCCTTTCGCAGCCTGTCCAAGTCGAAGAGCAAAAAGCCCAAAGAGCTGCCCCAGGCATCAAGGACGAGAAGTGAGGAGCAGCTGGCGTTGATAACTGGCGCCGAAGAGGATCAGAGCATCGATAGTGCTGGGGGTGGTGTCCCCAAGAAGAAACGGAGCCTCACACGCCGCCTGCTGTTGGGTGGGCTCAAGTCCAAAGCGAAAGTGCGACCGCACAGCTTAGCGACCAGCGATGAGATTAGCTTGAGGAGCAGCAGCAGCAGAGAACGGACAGCGACGGCAACGCCTACAAGCAGCAGCAGCAACACTCTCAAAATAACCATCAGTGGCAAGAAAGTCGAGCCGCTGCCAGCCAAAGGCAAAGCGGCCAAACGCAGTAAAAGCAAAAGCCACAACAGCGAAACGGATTACCTGACACCGACACCACCGACAACACCAACAACAACAGCAGCAGCAGCAACAACTGCAACTGCAACAGCAGCAACAGCTGCAACTGCAACTGCAACAGCAACAGCAGCAACTGGAAAATCAACAAGCACAACGACAACGCTGACAACAACAACATCCAAAGAAGACACAACGACGAGCAGCAGCAGCAGCAGTCGCCGCACCACCAAACTAATTGTGGCCAAGCTGGCCAAAGAGCCCAGCAAGAAGCCGAAGCAGAAGCAGCCAAAGACACAAGCCGAACCGGAGAAAATCGTTATCACTGAGAGCAAACGAGATACACCGCCACGCGAGCGAGCACCCGCCAAGCCGAGTCGCGCCAATGCAAATCAGTTGGCCAGCAGCAGCGGAGCAGTGCGCAAGTCGAGCAACACTAGCACCACTAATACCACCGCCACCAGCAGCAGCAACGTGCCCAGTCGCAAGGAGCGAGATTTGCTGCAGCAGCAACAGCAGCGCGGACATCGTGTAAAGCACCGTTCCCTCAGCAATAGCAGCAACACCGGCACAACGGCCGCTCCAGCATCTCCTGTGCCGGCGCTAGAGACGCCGCCAGTACATCCACCACCGCCACCACCACCACAGCCAGCGGCAGCAGCAGGCAAGACCTCCACAATAGTGGTAGTGAGTCTAAGCGACGTGGAGGAGCAAACGGACGCCGTTTCACTAGCAGAGAGTGCCGGCGCCCAGCCAGTGGTGCGCTTCGAGGTTGGCAGCGCTGTGCGTGGCCCAGCTGCAGACGTCGATACCTATGAGGCCGCCCTGCTTGCCGCCGCCACACAGCAGCCCAGCTCCAGCGAGGAGCTCAGTGATTCGAGCTTGCGTCGCCACACCTTTGCCCAGCAGCCGAAGGTTGCCGTGAGCGATCACGACAGCATCGAGGGCAGACGGGAGACGCTACATTATCAGTCGGTGCGCGCCGGGGACTCCATCGAGGTCGACGCCGATTCGGAGAAGGACGTTGGCGAGGCCAAGCCCATGCCAGCCTTTGGTGATCTGACCATGGAGCAGGAAATGGAACCGGTAAGCTGTCGCCGTCATCACCACCATCGCCACCGTCGTCGTCGTCGTCGCCGTTGTGTTCCCATTTGCATTTAACCCGTCAATTTAGCTGTGAAGAAGCCGTACAAATGTCGCAAAACCATTGCCCTCGTCTAGTGCTTGGTCTCCCCCGGCACCCAGCCCCCTCCCATTCCCCTTGTGCCCTTTTAACAGCCATTCAGTGTTGTCAGTTCTGATTTATATTTTTTCTCCATCAAATCTAGCTTTTTTTTTATCAAAAAAATTCTTTATTTTTATGCAAACATAATAATTTGAAATGATCATTTATTATTTTAAAATAGTAAATATTGAAGATTTAAGTAAAGTTTACGTAGTGAAATTTTATCAGCTCAGAATTTAAAATACAATTATATATATATATATATATATATATATACTTCGACACAAGCAACTACTATTATGTACATATTTTCCACAAATAAGAGATCTAAGCAAGCAAATCACAGTCAAGATTTTCAGCTTGTCAACACCAGAATTATTATTTCTTTTTAAGCTGTAAAGATAGCTTTTTTGGCTGCTCGACATAAGGGGACAGCTCTGAGAGTCGTGTCATTCAACTAGTCGAATATGTTGTTCACAAACAGTTGTTCTCTGATTATTTGCAGACCATCATGGCGCCCAGCAGCGAGAAACGGGAACATCTGTACAAGATTCTAGTCATCGGTGAACTGGGCACAGGCAAAACGTCCTTCATCAAGCGCTATGTTCATCAGTTTTTCAGCCAGAACTATCGTGCCACCATTGGTGTCGACTTTGCATTGAAGGTGCTGCACTGGGATACAAATACGATAGTGCGCCTGCAGCTCTGGGATATTGCCGGACAGGAGCGATTTGGCAATATGACCCGGGTCTACTACAAGGAAGCCGTTGGTGCCTTCATTGTCTTTGATGTGACAAGGAGTGGCACGTTTGATTGCGTCAGCAAGTGGAAGGAGGATCTGGACTCGAAGGTTCAGCTGCCCGATGGCAGTCCCATACCCTGCATACTGCTTGCCAATAAGGTGGGTTTGATGTTTTCATTATTAACGGGATATTTTCTATATATGCTTCTGGCATTTGCAGTGCGATCAGGAGAAACAGGGCATTGTGACGCAGCCGGAACGCATGGATGAGTATGTGCGGGAGAATGGATTCGCTGGCTGGTTTGAAACCTCTGCCAAGGAGAACATCAACATCGACGAAGCAGCACGTGCCTTGGTGAATAAAGTGAGTGAATAATCTTCCAGTTAAAAGTGGAGCTGAAGAAATTTCAATTTTTAAATATTCAAAGCAAGAATTGAGTAATTGTAATGATTGAAGCATCAACTGTAATTCAATATTTCAGCTTATCTAATATATACACTTCTATTGTATTCCCCTCTTTAGATACTCATCAATGACAAGCTGATAACTGCCGATGCGAACGATGCTGAGAAATTCAATCTGAGCAGTGCTGCAGATGCGAGTGCGGATTCAAAGAGCAAGTGCTCCTGCTGACCTGGCAAAAAAAAACCCAGGAAGAAAAGCAACATTACAATCTATTGGGCTTTACACACACACACACACCAAAGTCTGAGATTCTTATATAGTAGATCTGTTCCATGATTGTTGATAAAAAAAAGAAGATAACTATAAATATGCTTAGGATCTTTTGTAAAGTGTGTCTAAGACTTAGCGTCATGCTTATCAACATCTTCATCATCTAAAATCACTACGTGTGAGATATGCCAACACCTGGCCGTATAACTTTTACCAGGAGCAGTGCGTGCCCATAACTTATCTATATTACTTTATCACGACAGATACATACATACATTTACATACATATGCATTTATCTGCTGGAGCTTAGTGCCTGAGATAATGCAGCATCATTATACATTTGTGTAAAATACGAATCAAGTCGTCCTCTTGTTTATTTCTTATTTGTTTTGCTTTCGTTACTGAGATTTTTATCTTGAATTTTTATACGTACGGTACACACATTACAATAATTCATACATTAATACATAAACTCTGCCATCTTTATTTGCATTTAGATAAAAATACGTTATATGCAACACACACAGATTACAGCAGAAAGAAATTTATATATCTGCACGCAATCAAATAAACTTTTTAATTGTAGTTAAGCCAACGAAATGTCGTTTTCTTGCTTGTGAAGTAAACAAATAAATACGCAACTAAATGTGATACAATATTGCAAATGCAACTCTGAATTGTGCAAAAATGTCCAATTGCATAATTATTTATTACCATTTTTATTTGCGCAGTATGTATATAAATGAAGTATTGGACTTTAAACTAGTTAAAATTGCGGGTTCATTTTTACGGGGTGTTATCGACTCAATTGATTGAAATGTGTTATCGATATGTATTTTAGTAGCCCTGCTTTTGCTCAGCGATTAATACGAAAATGAATGGGACTCATCAATGGAATTTATTTACATTGAAATGCTAAAGAAAATTCTTTCCTTTGCAATATATTATCCATACGTATGTTTAATAAAATTTGTACTCTGATGTACTACTTTTTATGGCGTGACTCTTCATAATGAGTCATCGTTAGGTAATTGAATGTGACTAAGCTGCAGCCCTGATATACTTTTCTGCCAAAAATATGTGTTTTTGGCGAATTCCAGCATCGGTCACATTGCTTGCGCTGCTGTTGTAAAAAATGCAAATGCAAAAATTACAAATATCCACAAAGATTTAATTGTAATATAGTAATTATCAACCGATAATTGTAAAAATCAAGTGCAAGCAGTTGACATGTTTTAAATGTTTAAGGTAAGCAACAAAAGAAAGCGAAAGCAACAGGATCAGCAACAGTACTTAAGCTAATTAGCATTGCCGCTGCTTCTGATTGGAAACACTGTCGTCGCAGCTCTCTTCGTTGCCATCGTCGACGTCGTCGCCGTCGTCGTCACGTTTACTCCCCTTTTCGGTCTTTGTTGTTTGTGGGCCGTGGCACTTGAGAGCTGATAAGTTCGCCACAGGCCCAAGTTTTGGTTGACTCGAGTAATGAGCAGTAAATCGGATGTAACATGAATCAGCTGTGCCGCCAATTATAAATATATATTTTTAATTTCCCTCTCCTTCTCTTCTCTCTCCCTCTCTATTTTCGAATTGGTTTTAGTTTTGTTATTTAGTGGCGTAAAACTAGTGCACATTAATTGGAAACAGGTTGCAGTTTCGGCCGAAGATGCTGCCGCCGAAGGAGAATGTGGATCTCGAGTGCTTCATTGTGACGAAGCACTCGTGGAAGGGCAAATATAAGCGTATTCTCTCCATTGGCACCGCCGGCATCTCCACCTACAATCCGGACAGATTTGATCTGACAAATCGCTGGTCCTACTCGGATATTGTAGCAGCCGCACCCACAAAGACCACAAATGTGAGGAACACATATAAATATATTTATATATTTGTTTATTTATATTAATGAATTGAATCAATTGTGTTGGTGAATGATCGCAGATACCCAATGAGTTTGTGCTCACCATTAAGAAAGACAAAAAATTGGATTCGATTAAACTTTCGTCGGAGTATCGCAACGATATACTCACCTCCATATTAAAGTACTACAGGGAATTCGCAGACAAGCCTAAAAATGCTCTCGTAAGTTGACACACTGACACTTGTACACTTTTTAATTGAATTAATAGAGAGTTTTTTGTATCGGTTGGCACAGCGATTTAATGCATATAAATACCATTGGTCGGGCATCAGCTTACCCACTGTTCTGGAAGTTACGCCCTGCTCCTTGGATCAGTTGGATCCAACCACAAACGATGTGCTCACCAGCTATATGTACAAGGACATCGAGGGAATAATAGGTACCTATAGCATGGCTTGAAAATGTGGCTGGCATTGGGATCTACGCCGTGCCTTAACCATTGCAAAAGCTAATGTGCCAATATTTTCTAAAGTCTATTGTGTTTGTTCTCTGTGTCATCACGTTTCACGTTTTAATACTTGTTCGCTTTGTTTCCATTTCTTGTTTCTGCGTTTCCTTTGCACTCATCTTTGTGATTTTTCGTTTACGCGCACGTTTTAAGCAGGCATCTCGGACTATGATAATGGCATCGTGATGGCCTACGGCGGCTTCAGTCGCCTGCACATGTTCAAGGCGCTCAATCACCACGAGATCGTGCAGAACATTGCGCAACGTTCCGCCCAGTTTCTCGGCATTGAAACCAAAATACTCAAGAGTCAAATAACTCTCGAGCAATTCGAGCGACAGCGTTTTGGCAAATATAGGCAAGTATATCGATTAATCTCTTCCTCCCTGTTCGAGTATTTAATTAAGAGCATTGTGTGCTTTGTGTTTAACTTACAGCGGTGATCAGTTCCAGACCTCGATGACAGAGTTCACAGTGCAGAAGATAACGCCTCGGCATCCGGATCCAGTGAAACGCATACTCTGCCTAACCGAGGTGACGCTGCTCGAGCGCGATCCGCAAACGTACAGCGTCTGCACGCTGCGCCCGTTGGTCGATGTGTTTGCACTGGTGCGCGATAAGGACAATCTTCAGCGTTTTTGCATTGAGTATAAGAACGGAATTGTGCGCAGCTACAGCACCAACGATCGCGACTCGCTGCTGGCCACTGTCTTGGATGCGGTGCGCTCCAGTGGCAATCAGGATGTGCACATACGCATTGGCAATACGCCGCGTGGCAAGCGCTATGTCCCCCTCAACAGTTCCGTGGACGAGGAGACGGAAGCCAACCTGTTGCGCCTGGTTATCAATAATTTCCAAAATCCAAACCGCCGTTACGAGATCCTCGAGCGTTTCAATGCCAATGTGCCGCACAGTGGACTCAACTACAGTGTCACCCAGGATGTAAGTTGAAACGGCTCCAAATTGCCAAGCATATTTGTTAAAATTGAAATTTGTCTTTCTTGCAGAGTCTGTTTGCGGAGAATAAGGAGAAGCTCATATTGAGTGCCCTGCAGGCCTTGGCTCAGAAGGAACTCGATAGTCCAACGGCGCAGCTGAATAACACTGAGCTAGAGTCCATATTCCATGCATTGACGCGTCTGCTGGCTAGCAAAGTGGGCTACGCTGCCTTTACCAATCTTCCGGGGTAAATATATATATTTATTTACATATTTTATGAACAACTTTTTAATATGCCTTTGCAGTTTTCGCGAAATCATTGGCACTAAGGTGGTGGCCTCGTTGCGACGCAAGGATTTGGCAGTGACCTACTCGGCGATTGATATGATCAACTCATTGATGCACTCGGTGCACACCGATCACGACCTCAAGCAGGAGCAGCTGAACAAATCTTCCATATTATCATCCAAATCATTTTTGGAAACGCTGCTCAACATGTGGACAACGCATGTGGTACGACAAGTCCAATCTTATCTATGATTTTGATTGTGTTCATGCTTCGTTTCTCCCTGCAGAGCCACGGCAGCGGTGCACTGGTCTTGTCCGCCATGCTCGACTTTCTGACGTTCGCGTTGTGTGTGCCTTACAGCGAGACCACGGAAGGCAAGCAGTTTGATACACTGCTCGAGCTAGTTGCTGAGCGCGGTCGCTTTTTGTACAAGCTGTTCCAGCATCCATCGCTGGCGATTGTCAAGGGCGCCGGTTTGGTGTTGCGCGCCATCATTGAGGAGGGTGAACTGCATGTGGCCCAGCAAATGCAGGCGTTAGCTTTGGACGAGGCGGCGCTGTGTCGTCATTTGCTTGTGGCGCTCTACACACCATCCAATGACCCCACATTGATAACGCATCGCCAGCTGTCGCGTCACCTGATCGGTCTCTGGCTGACGGACAGCGATGAGGCCATGGAACTGTTTAAACGCATTTTCGTAAGCTGAGAACCTATTGTGTTGGATCTTATTTTATAACGTTCCTCGAATTGCAGCCCGCTGGCTTGCTGACCTTTCTGGAGATAGAGGAAAGCGTGCCCGACACGGATGTGGAGGAGGACAAACTGAACTTTCGCGATAATCTCAAATTTGCAATTCAACATTCCAAGAAAACTCGCAAGAATGTGATAGAGAAGCATTTGCAGGGCATCAAGCACTGGGGCTTGAACCTGATCGAGCAGCAGGACGGCGCCGCCCAGGCGCTCAAGAATCGTCCAGTGGTGCTGCGCAATCGACGCCAGAAGAAGAAAACCTCCGAAGCCATTGTTAATTTGCCCTACTTTTTCTACAACTTTGCCAAAGATCACAGTTTGCCCAATCTAATTTGGAATCACAAGGTGAGCATCATCATAATCCTTAGCAAACACTCTACTAAATAAATCACTCGGCTTGCCTTTAAATTAGACGCGAGAGGAGCTGCGCATGTGTCTGGAGAACGAGTTGCGCCAATTTCTGAGTGATCGCGACCTGGCTGGTCAGATGATTGTGGCCTGGAACTATCAGGAATTCGAGGTGGGCTACCAGTGCCTGGCCGAGGAGATTAAAATTGGGGACTACTATATACGGCTCATACTGGAGAAGGATGATTGGCCGCAAAATCTGGTCAAGGATCCGTAAGTGGCTCAAGCCTTAAATATGTATAATTATTTATTTACATGTTGTATAATAATTCATCTCTTTCTGGGCAGGATCGAGCTATTTAATGCTCTATATCGACGTGTGCTGTGCCGACAGCGCGTCAATGATGATCAGATGACGGTATTTTCACTGCAGGCACTGGCCAAGGTGTATAGACGGTATCACCAGGAGATTGGCAAGTTTAGCGACATGTCCTACATTCTGCAGCTGAGCGATCGCGTAAGTCACTGACATGTTCAGCTTTCATTTCATAATCTTGCATTGTGCTCATTCTAGTGCCTGTCTCCGTCCATGCGAGATGCCTTAATCAATCTGATATCGTGTCTGGTGCTGGAAAAGTCCAACTGTCGCGCTCTGTGCGATCATGTGCAGTGCCTGGTTGACCTGATCACACTGGCGCACTTGCACAAGGGTCGCGCACAGCTGAACACCAAAACGAATGTGATCGAGGCGGGTCCCAATATGGCTGCCTACGAGGAAAAGGACTGGTACTACAACATCGAGAAGGATGGCCAAAAAGCGGAACGGCAGGGACCCATTACCTACTCGGAGCTGAAGGAGCTCTGGCAGAAGGGCCAGATCACGCCGAAGACTCGCTGCTGGGCCATTGGCATGGATGGCTGGCGCTCGTTGCAGCAGATACCCCAACTGAAGTGGTGTCTTATTGCCAAGGGCACACCGCTCTACGACGAAACGGAGCTGTCATCAAAGATCCTCGATATCCTGATCAAGTGCACCAGCTTCTTTCCCAGCCGCACACAGAATGGTGTGGCCGTGCTCATTCCAGGACCCAAGTTGTCGCGCAAACTCTCTGAATTCATTTGCCTGCCGCACGTGGTGCAGGTGTGCCTCACCCACGATCCGGGCCTGCTGGAGCGTGTGGCCACGCTGCTCTGCCAGATCATGGAGGACAATCCCGAAATGCCCAAGGTCTATATGACCGGCGTCTTCTATTTTATGCTTATGTACACGGGCAGCAACATTCTGCCCATCACACGATTCCTTAAAATGACGCACATGAAGCAGGGCTTCCGCAGCGAAGAGGTGAGTCTGTGGATTTTATTTGATTTGATTTAATGATTCCACTTCCAATTTCTCTGCCTTTCGATTCATTTTGCAGACTTCCCAGTCGGGCATTATGCATCGGAGTATTTTGGGCCAGCTGCTGCCAGAGGCGATGGTGTGTTTCCTGGAGAATTACAGTGCCGAAAAGTTTGCCGAAATCTTTCTGGGGGAATTCGATACGCCCGAGGTAATTTGGAGCTCGGAGATGCGTCGCTTGCTCATCGAGAAGATTGCCGCGCACATAGCGGACTTTACGCCGCGCCTGCGTGGTCACACGATGGCCAGATACCCTTACCTGGCCATACCCGTCATCAGCTATCCGCAGCTGGAGAACGAGCTCTTCTGCCACATTTACTATCTGCGGCATTTGTGCGACACGCAAAAGTTTCCCAATTGGCCGATCTCGGATCCTGTGCAGCTGTTGAAGCATACGCTTGACGCCTGGCGGAAGGAGGTGGAGAAGAAGCCGCCACAGATGACCATACAGCAGGCGTACCAGGATCTGGGCATTGATCTGGCCAAAACGCCCAAACCGGATGAGTCCATGATACGCAAGAGCTACTACAAACTGGCGCAGATGTATCATCCCGATAAGAATCCGAATGGTCGCGAGATCTTCGAGAAGGTTAATCAGGCCTATGAATTCCTGTGCTCGCGCTCCGTCTGGAGCTCCGGCGGTCCGGATCCCAACAATATTGTGCTCATACTGCGCACTCAGAGTATTCTCTTCGAGCGCTATCCGGATGGTGAGTGGGCAATAGCTTAATAACTTAATTGCATTTACTCACTATTCACTTTCAAACTTACAGTGCTGCGTCCATATAAATATGCGGGTTATCCGCAGCTAATCAAGACGATTCGGTTGGAAACACGCGACGAAGAGCTGTTCTGCAAGGAGGCCCAACTGCTGACCGCTGCCTCGGAACTGTGCTATCACACGGTCCACTGCTCGGCCCTGAATGCCGAGGAGTTGCGTCGCGAGGAGGGCATCGAGGCGCTGCTGGAAGCCTATTCACGGTGCGTTTCCATACTGGGAGTCGACTCCAAGCCGGATTCGCTGCACTACCAAGTTATCTCAAATGTGACACGCTGCTTTGAGGTCGCCTGCAACTTTGAGAAGTGCAAGCAGAAGATCATCCAGCTACCGCAGCTGCTCTCGGATGTGTGTCGCGTCGTCTACTTCAAGCACACGCTTTCGGTTAGCCTGGTGACCAGTCTGGCGGCCAACAACTATGATCTGCAGTGCAATCTATCCCGTAATGGTGTTCTCTGGTCGCTGCTGCTCTTCATCTTTGAGTATGACTACACGCTGGATGAGAGCGGCGTGGAGGTTAGCGACAAGTCCAACCAGCAGCAGCTGGCTAACAATTTGGCCAAAATGGCCGTACTTGGCTGCATCGCTCTCGCCGGCTACGGCATGGAGTTGCGTAACAAACCGATTACGGGCAGCGAATCCAATTCGCCATCAGCAGGAGCTAAGCCGGCGCCAGCTATCAAACCCAAGCCGTCATCGACAATCAATTCGTCGTACATGCAAAATGCGCACAATCCGCTGCAGAGCAAACAGCTGGCAATTGGCACCGGCAAAGAGTCGGAGAAGGAAACGGCTGTTGTGCTCACCAAGCAGGACTCGAGCGTTAGCAGCGATACCTCCAGCTCCACGCCTACAGACAGCGACCAGCAGCAGCCACGCCAGAGCGCCATTCAGCAAAAGTATCTGGTGACGGGTGAGCCGAACAATACGCTGATCAAGCAGGTCTTGGATCGCCTGCTCACACGCTACATTGCCAACCAGTTGGCCACGGCACCGGACAGCGAGGTGCTCAAGCTGCTGACGGCCAACACTCGCAATCCCTACCTGATTTGGGACAATGGGACGCGGGCCCAACTCAAGGATTTCCTTGAGCAGCAGCGCACTGCATCCGCCAAGGAAACACACGAGGATATTGCCCAGGTCTACGAACTGGTGAACAGCTTCGAATTCGATGCCCACAAGTCAGTAGTAAAAGCACATCTGTTTAAATCCCGATTTTAAATACTCCTTTTTCCAGGGATGAATTGCAAATTGGTGGAATATTCATACGTATCTACAACGACATGCCCACGCATCCCATTGCCCAGCCCAAGCAGTTCATCATGGATCTGTTGGATTACTTAAAGCATGCCTATAAGTTTCTGCACCACAAACAGGCCAAGCACTCACCGGCAGCTGCTGCGCCACCCGCAGCAACGCCTAAAATGGGCAGCGATGGCATACTGACGCCCACGCTAGCGCCCAATCATCCACAGCTGCATCAGCAGCAACAGCAGGACATCAAAACTGGCGGCACTTTCGACGAGGTGCTGAATGCCTACAATCGTTCCAAGAGCCGCAAAAAGCTAGAAACGGATGCACAGGCGGAGCAGCAGCTATCACTGCAGCAAGCAAAATACGACTATGCCAGCGATGCTCAGCTGGAGCTGCACATCACAATGGTGCTGCGTGCACTGATTGCGGTAATCAAAACCAATGCCGAGGTGGAGATCCAATGCATTGGCAGTTTCGATATGATATTCGGCTTTCTGGCCAACAACATATTCGCTGATGTAAGTGCGCAGATGAAGTTCACATTCGATGCACAGATTTGTTAATTCTCTTACTTCCTTTCGCAGAATTCCAGCGTTAAAGCTGTGGCGCTGGAGGTGGTCGCTTTGGTGTCGCGCAACAAGGAGTGCGTCTCGGAGGTGGCTGCCTGTGAGATTCTTGGCAATTATTTGGTCGCACTTAAGGATCCCGAGCTGCGTGCCAGCCAGGTGAAGGTGCTGGAGACGCTCTCCGGCCTTATGAACGTCCAGGAGATGATCAAGGAGGCGCAAGCCAAGGGTGCTGCTATCTATCTTCTAGACATGTTCTGCAATTCACGCAATCCGCAAATACGTGAAATGTGCGCCGAAATACTGGCCAAAATGACGGCAGATCGTCTAAGTGGGCCCAAGGTACGCATCACCATATCGAAGTTTCTGCCTGCGCTCTTCATAGATGCCATGATCGAGTCGCCGGCAACGTCTGTGCAACTTTTTGAGTCCATACACGAGCACCCGGAACTGATCTGGAACGACAATACACGCTCGAATGTGTGCGATGCGGTTGCGGAGACGTGCAACCGATTCTATCAGCAGCAAAAGTCAAATAACCGACATCTGTGGAAGGATCCCGAAATGCTTAAGGATATTGTGTCTAATGAGATTGTTGTCGCAGGCGTCTATTTAAGACTCTTTGTTAGCAATCCTGCCTGGACGCTGCGCAAGCCCAAACAGTTTCTCTCCGATCTCTTGGACTTTGTGGTCGAGCAAATTAGCAAGAGCTCCACTGAGCAGGACGTGCTGGACTTGTCCACAACAGCGCTAGTGGAGCTGCTGCGCTCCCAGCCTAACCTCGCCGACGATATACCCGTACTGGGTCACATACCCAAACTGTTCAATTTGCTATCGGTGCAACCAAAGAACACGCTATCAGTATTACACCAGCTGTCGCTCTCTGAGGTGAGTTGAGCACATTAACTATCGATAGACTCTTAGCTAATCTCCGTCAATTGCCTTCTCAGTTCTGTGTGAGCGCCATCTCGCAAACGGAATGCGTTGCGCCGCTGAAGAAATGCATGGAACAAAATCGGGATTGCATTGAGAAGGCATGCGAGGCACTGAGTCGCCTCTTCAAGCATCAACATGTGAGTCGCAAATGAAATTATAACTTTAATGATATTATTTACATTTATATATTGTTTTGCAGGACTCGCTGATCAGTCAATCGCTGGAGGTGGGGCTTATACCGTTTCTGCTGGGTCTGCTGGACAGTCGCTTGGAATTCGTGGACAATGCGTCCGCAGTTAAAGCACAAATCGTCGCTGCGCTCAAGGGCATGACACACAATCTCAATTATGGGGATCGTGTCACACAAATATTGCTCAAGCATCCCATCTGGGCCGAGTTCAAGGATCAGCGTCATGACTTATTCATAACAGACACAAACATACGTGGCTACTTGACTGGTTAGCAAATACTCTAAATATCTCTATGTAATCAATTGTAATCGTTACTTTATTGCAGGCATTAATCCGACGGCGGGCTACCTCACCGCAGGACCAGCGCAAAGCGTTGAAGTGCTTACCTCACCACCGCCCATGGATCGCGATGATCCTTCTGCACGTCAACCTATTGATTAGCGGCTCCTCATTTGCCACAGCCATCCAAAAGCTAAGCATAACTTATGATTTGCCTTGCTCTACACAAAAACACACACCCTCTAGCTAAACGGCGCCTTCGATTGCCACGCAAGCTTTTATATGGACGTGTCCTGATTTCCTTTATTGTATTAAAAGTTTTGCATCATTTTAAACATACACTGCTTTGTTAAACAAAAAAAAAAAAGAAAGAAAAGAGAAGGAATGGAGGAGGCGTGACTGTCACCAAACAAACATATTAACAATCTGTAACAAAGTCTACGAAACGTTTAATTTTTTATATTTATATAAATTGTATAAATAGTTAATAGTGAATACACACACACACACACACACGTACATACATATATACACATTAATTAAAGCATGCATAAAGTGATTATACATATGTATTATGAATTAAAACAGACTCATTAAAAATGAATCAACTATCTTTTCATTGTTTGGTGTGGTTGGGTGGAGTGGAGCGAACCATTCCCCTTGCGGTTATATAGATAAATCTAGGTCATATCCCTAAGGATCTTAAGATGGAGCATATTTTCATATATTGAAGCATTTTGGTATTCGAGGATTTCCACAGGTCGACAATTTGAAATTTGTACAGGTGTTTGGGGTCTTAGATTAGCCAATAATCATTGAATTTATTTCGATAGAGTTTGCCACTGCGATTTTTACGTTTATATGCTTTGAAAATCGATAATGATTTCGCCGAGTTATCCTGAAAAACAAAACCCGTCCCAAGAATGTGCTTTGAATTTATGATTTTTTAACTCGTAATTTATTTGAAGCCTAAAAGTATTCCTCGCTGTCGATCTCACAGACAAATTGCCCGAGCCTGAAAGTATGCAATGTTTTGGATTCGTGATTAATTGCAATTTAATATATTTATTTTGTTGGTATTTTGCATTTCAATTGCTTAATACTGCGGTCACACTGTTTATTCAGAAAGCAAAAGGTAAACAATGTCGCTGGTTGCTGATTATAGTGATTCCTCAGAGTCTGATGTGGAAAGCAGCAGCAATGAGTCTGAGAAAGAAGATGTAAACAAGTCAGAAGGGTTAGCTAATAATCTTTATAAAAAAGAGATACAAATTAAAAATATAAATGTTTGCAGGCCGCCCGCAGTACAGAAAATTCCCAAATTGCCCAGTGCAAGCGCTGCACTGGACAATGCGGCGACAAAACGGACTGGGGATGTATTTAGTAATCCGTTTCTGGAGGCGGAGCTGCACAAGACAGCTTCCCTGGAACGACACGTCAAAATGGTAAACAACGATACACATATGCAGCTAAAGAACGGGCGTAAAATATGTTGGAATTATAGGAAGGGACGCTGCCGCTTTGGCACCAGCTGCCAATATGCACACGACTCGGATTTGTCGCTGGAAGCATCAGCCGACAAGGATGCCAAACTGGAGACTGCAGCGCAAACATCCACACCACATTCTAGTGCCAACAAGGGCAGGGACAGGGACAGGGACAACAAACGCAAACGTCCTGGTCTAAGCGATGCCATCGAACCCGGCAAGCGCGTAATGAAATCTTACCAGCAACAGCACCATCTCAGCACGGGAACACGTCGTCCACCCAACTAGCAACTAAACTCAAATGAGGCCAGCGTCTGTGATGCGCAGCAAGCAGCTGCCTTCGCTGGCTCCACAACTGTTACTTAGCACCTTTAGCAGTCGCAACCCATCGCTGTGCGAATCCTCTGGAAGCTCCAGCGCCAGCGTTAGTGTGCAAACCGAGCACCAGTAGTCGCCCAAATAGGTGCAGTCCTCTTGCCATGCATCTGAGTCTATTTGCGTCGATCCGTCATCGTTGTCATCCGCATCATCCCCGCCATCAGCTGTGAATGAGATTTTAGTAATACACCATATGTAAATAAATTTCAGTTTAAGAAAAGAACAAGGAGTTTCTTAATAGCCTTGCAGGACATATGACAACGCATTATATAGTATATATATGATCCGATAGAAGCAGACAGATGCACCGATTAATATCAGTTTCCATGTAAATTTATGTACTGTTTCAGACACATATCTTAGGGGCTGGAAGATGCTTCGATTTTATAATGATGTATTTAACTCTTCGACACTTACTTTCATCTTCCGGAACGAAGGTCAAGTTGCCCACAATGAATGCAATGCCATGTTCCACAGCTAATTTCCGCATAATCATGGCCAATTCCGTTAGAAAACTGCGTCCCTTGTTGCGATTAGAACTGCTGCGTAGCATTATGAAACAGGCCGTCAGGGAATCAATTAAAACCACTTTAGTGCGTGACACATGATTCAAATTGGCTTTACGATCTGATAGTTGCTCGTGCAGAGATTCCAGTGCCATAAGCAAGGATTGAGCTGAGATGGCTTTGACCACATTAATTTGATCTAAATATTTATCAACAGCGTCTTCATCCAGCTGTCGCTGCTGCAGTATCTCCTCCAGTCGTTCGGTTTCAAAGCCGGAATTGGTGTCCACAAAGAGTATTCCACAATTCACTCCGTTTCTACAAACGAAATTGATGGCCAATGTGTGTAAGAGTTCAGTTTTGCCCGCATCGCTTTCGCCAATAATCTCCCAGACTCGACCAGGCCGAAAGGGCTGCCCAATAGACTCCAGCAAGTTGTCCAATCTGTAAATGACAGAATTAGTTTATGATTTAACAATTTAAATTACTTATTTTGCATACTCTTCAATGCCAGTTGAATAGTTCACTGGATTTGGCTGATAAACTGATTTAAGCTTTACTTTTCCCACTATTAAATCCAGAAGCTCCCGCTTGATTTCGTAAGTTGTATCTCTGCTAACAGCTAAGATCTGGTCAACAGTATCTGCCTCCACAAAGTCTTCGGCTGTGTTAATATTCTGTTTTTGCAGCAACTTAATATGGTATTGAGACAGTTGTTTTCCCGTTTTGGTCAACGAGAGCAACGATTGCAGCTCCTCGCAGCTTCCCATTTGTTTACAGTCGGCAAATTGGCGGAAACAGATTATCGATTGCATATTTGAAAATCGATAAGTTGATATTGCCAAAAAGGGATTAATTAGTGCCAAATTTCAATTGCAAGAATTCAAAAAACCGACGAGAATAGTTTGAAAAACATTAGTTGAACTATGCTTATCACGAGCTGCGCCATAATACATGCCCTTTAATGTTAAGCCGTTTAGTTAGATTCAGCAATGGTAGACTGGAAAGTAAAATAGCAATAAAAACTAAAAATAAATAAAAATAAAGTTGCGGTCAGATAGTGCACGTTTTATATATAAAATACTACTGACTCATGAATTGGATCAAACAATGATAGTATTGTGTATGTGTGTGTTGGTATGTGTATGTGTGATCTTGTTTATATGTATATAATGGAAATCCCCAAGCATACATAGAGAAGTCGCCACTTTATCTTTAAGGAACACGACTTTTAGCTTGATCTGAATGAGCAGCAATCGCCAGCTTGTCTCAGTCGCGAATACAATATGGACGAGAGACCGCATGCACATGAAATATTGGTCGCCAAACCAAGCCGCTACAACCAATATGATGCAGCACCCGGCAGCAGTAGCAGGGGATATGGTTGCATTGAAAGAGAAGTGGACAATGATCCCAATAGACCTGATGCAGTCGAATCACCTGCGAATCCATGCTCTCACCTGAGATTTTTTCTACTGGAACCGTTGATATTGATATTGCTCTTTGCATATAATTTATCAGGTGAGCTTTGAGAACTTCAGCAGATAACCATAATACACGTACATGTTTACAACATATTTTAGCTACCGTGCTCCAATCGCAAATCATCTATCAAAGCTGCACAGCTGGCTTGGGCTACACAAAAGCGGTTTGCAGTCTGCTGGGCACAAAAAATTCAACAAATGAGACGAAAATAATTGAGCAAGAGGTTCAGCCGTACGCAGCACATATATTTCTCGCCATAAAGATTCTGGAGTCACTTCTACCGGCATTTTGTGGTTTGTTTGTTGGCGGTCTAGCAGACCGATATGGCAGGAAGCCTCTATTGCTCGCCTCCTTCTTCGGTGAGTATCGTTTTGCTTAGAAAAACAGTATGTCTGTCAGTCTGTTCACATTAATTTATATGTTATTTTAATGAGATTCTTTAATTAGCTACAAAATAGTTATTTAAAGCATTTTTCACTTCGAATTAGTGTACATTTTAGTTCTTAGTTTAAGAACATGAAATCTTGGGTGACGCAGATTTGTTTAAATTTTAGTATGATAACAGCACTGCTTAAGAAGCTTGTTTATTTTTATTTAGGAATTTTGTTTGCTATATATAAATATATAAAATACTCTCAATTCTTCTGGGCTTGTAGGGTATGTGCTGCAGTATAGTTTATCAGCATGTATTGCCTATATAGCCATACAATTGGATGGCATGGTTAGTCCTTGGTACTATTTGATTACCATAATACCGATATCGCTGATAGGCAGCACCGTCACCACAACCACGGCAGCACTTTGCTTTATAGGCGATGTATCCACCGGCAAAATTAGATCTTACAGGTGAGTGCAGAAATGTAATACATATAGAAATAAATATATATGTATATATTCATATTTATATATTTTGAACTCCACTCTAACACTCAGAATGATCGCCTATGAGATGAGCATCTATGTGGGCTTACTCCTGGGCAGCTTTGCCGCCGGCTACATTTATGACGCCACCAATGCTTTTACCATCTTTGTCATCTCGGCTGCATCCATACTCTTTGCCCTGTTACTGATGGCAGCCCTGCTGCCAGAGAGTCTGCAGAATAGGCAGCGCTCTCAAGGTTTTGCACTTAAGGATTTGTGGGACACCAGTTTTAGGAGACGTGAACACTCAGATCGTTCCATACTCATATTGCTGATGTGTGTGTTGCTGCTAGCGACTTTCGTAAATGGTGAGTCCAGCGTACAGAATTCATCTCAAACTTAATTGATTTCAAATGGTTTTCCAGATGGCAGCAATTCGGTGTTTTATATGTTTATGCGTGAAAAGTTCCATTGGACAGTGCGGGAGTTTACCAACTACGAGTCTGTCAGCATATTGGTGCCAGCTGTTGCCGGATCTGGTGGCATTCTATTTCTCTGGTCGCTGCGGCAGGTGTGCATGGGATTGACAATAGAAAATTACATCATGCGTTAATCACTTCCCATTTACAGTGCATCAAATCAGCAACTCTTTGGTTGGCCCTCATCTCGCTGCTGAGTCATGTCTCGAGCAGTCTGATGAAGGCTTTTGCCTTTGTCGACTGGCAAATCTATCTGGCCATTGGTTTGGGTGTATTTAAGTCAATGGTGAATCCCATGTGTCGCACAATGATAACAAATCTCTTGCCAGACGTTGAGAGAGGTGTGTACGATAATGGGTGAATCTTTTTATACCCTGTACTCTCGAATGTGTAAGAAATCTATCAAACACTTGCGGAAATGTATGTATTCGTATACATATTAAGCATTTTTTTGAGACACTTTCCCTAGCTCTCTCTTTAATTTGGAGAAAATCTATTTTAGGGTCATAATTTTGAGAGTCAATGCCAATGATGGGTGCAGGGCATTTAGTTATGTACCCTGCATCCAGCTAGAGCACTATTACCTGTTTTGCATTTATTAATATTAATATATGAGTTTTATTTTTTTGATTGCAGGCAAAATATTTGGTTTGCTCGGCGTGCTGCAGTCCCTTTCCCCGCTCGCCTCCTCGACTCTTTACATCTTATTTTATACATTAACTTTGAGTAGTGTGCCGGGTTTCTTTAACCTAATCAGCGCCAATTTGTATGGACTTGCGATTGTTTTGCTGCTGTGAGTTACCGTAAAATGAATATGCAAATGTTATAATGTGTATTTAATAAATTGATTTCCTATTTTTTTTTAGTTTTGTCTGTCGCAAAAAAACAAACAATTCTGAACACTACGAACAGATTTTCAAGTGATGCCCCCCTATGTATTATAATTTTTGTTAAATAGTAAGAAAAAAAGTTAATTTTTACCAGTCATTCGACCATTCGCACATCAATTATACAAATTGAATGATGCTTGTAATAATATGGCACACGGAATTACCTACTTACATATTTGCACATAATAAATAGCGAAATGTGTGAACTGTGAATGTATACTGCGGGGGGTTTTTTATTGGCCAATTATTTGAGCCAAATAAATAAGTGGGTTTGCTCTTTAGTGTGAAGTGACCTGCTGGTAGATACCCTGTTGGCTGCCCTAGCAAAAATACGTTTATTGCATTACTAAAGGGTGCAAAGACATCGACAACAAGCAGAGAGAATTATCAACAAGTGTTTATTTTGTGTTAGTAAATGCGCTTTCTATTTGCCACATTTCTCGCATATTTGTCAGCTGCATTTAGATTTGCAATTATTTTGAATACGGTTGATATAACCTGACCTGCTGTTTGTTGTTCATTGTGGGGCAATGGCGTGTGTGCAGTCAGTTGACAATTCGAACCAGTGTCAATTAAACAGATATAGTAAACAAAATGAATATAAAAAAGAAAGAAAGAAAAAAAAACCAACCAGCAAGTGAGAGAGTGGTGTTAACTTCATGTTAAATTTAGCGCTAATTTCATTTGCTAATTTTCAATTAAGAGCCACGCGTTTTTGCACCCTTGATTAAATATTTATCAGGGGCTTAAAACAATAACATTGTGTATTCTAGACAAGCGAAATGTTAAGTAAATAATATTTATTTGCTTATTTATGTTGAATATATTTATGTAAATATTTATGGCCAAAATGGAGAGGCATGAAATGCATTTTTGGTTTTGTTTTAATTAACAAACGGAATTCATAAATGCTTATTTACAATTCAAATTTATACTTATCATTTATTTAGAGACACATTGTAGATTTTGCTAAGAAGCAATTAATCATAAAGCTTATCATGCAACATTCATTTGGTGCCCCTTAAATACTATTATATAAATAAGTTTACAAGCAATAAATGTAAAAAGATTTGTATAACATTCTCTTATCTTATATCTAGGGAATTATGGCTAATTAAAATCTCCATTTAATGTCAAAATACTGAAATTAAAAAATAACTCTCCACCAAAGGCCATGCGTTGACTTCGGCTCGTGCTTCTCATTTGCAAATAGCACGAATTCAGCAACAACAATAAGAAGAAAAAAACACACACGCACACCAATCCAGACAAATGATAATAAGTCAAACAGGAAAGAACGGCACGCCGAAGACGGCATACCCTTAAAAAACTAAATTTCACTGTATATTGAGAAAAACGACCGATTGAAGATACACGATGAAAGGCATCTATATGATATAGTATTCCAAACTGGTCGGCTTAGATAGATATACATATATTTATATTTAGTATTTGATTATATCTTAGAAATATATATATTAGATATCTACACGGGCATAGAAACAGACAGACAGACATAGCTGTATCGACTCGGCTAGTAATAATGATCATAACTATATATAGATCATAACTGCGATTGAAACTTCATGACAAATTATAATTAACTCTGTTAGAGTATACAAAAAATGTATATAAATAAAGCAACAAATTGGGGCTCAGGAGAGTTTTAGCGCCTAGACAAGCTGGGCAAGGGGAAGGGGAAGGGGAAGGGAGAAGGGAGAAGGGAGCTGCAATGGAGCCAGCCAGCGACAAACTTATTTAAACCGACAACACAGTGAAATCGAATTTAAACGAATCGGAATCGCTCGACTCGACAAAACAGTCAACGGAATGTTTTTGATTTAATTTCCGAGAAACAATTGAAATTGTACAACACACATAGCTCTGATGCTGAAACGGTTTCGTATACCCAACGCAACTAGAACATTGGATTTTTGATGAACAACTGTTGTGCACGTTTAGCCATTTACTAGTTGCAGTTGTTAATGTCGATTTTAGTCTGTATATAAGCCTACAGACGGTAGCTGATAATTTATAATTGACGCCAGTTTCGTCTAAGCCGTGTACGAATAAACGGGGAATATCGTGTGTAATTTAAACATAAAAGTTGACTATAAGCTCGAATTGAAATCTAAAGTGCGCAGTGGGACTGTTTTTGTCATTGGTTCAGTTTTGCTCGAACAATCGGTTGAGAATCATCTGCAAAACTTTCCAAAACAAGCCGCTGCCAACCGGTCTGGAAACTGATATGAATAAATTGACAAAGGAAAACTATTCAAGTCAACAAAATTGTTGAAGCGACGTGAATGCAGCATTGAACTCGCACCAAACATTAAAAAATAATTGATAAATAAATTTAAGTGCAAATACGTGCTGATTAATCTAAACATACTTTAAAAACAAACACAACAAAAACACGCAGACAATAATTGGCCAAAATGGTCGAAAAAGTGTCGACTACCTTGACCTTAAAACGCTTCAAAACTATCCAATGGAAGCGAATTTTTCATATGTTCTACATTGAACCGGTTGTTTTCTTGTTGCTATTCTCGGTGACGTTGTCCAGTAAGTGCCAATAATTTGTATAGTTAATATGATTCGTTGATTCGAAGATCTCCATTTGCATAGACACCATACTAAGGAATCAGATTATCTATCAGACCTGCACGGTGATCTTTAATTACAATGTCAGCGATTGCAAATTGCTGGATGATAAAAATGCCAGTGCCGAAATAAAGGTATGCAAAACTTTTAAAGTATATACTTAGTAGGTAAACTTAAAGTAACGCTATGATTTATACTCGGAAAGCTTGAATCATTCTTACTGATAAACACAAAACTGCTGTACCTGTTTCAGTTTGTAAGCTTACGAATCTAAGAAACAGTCTAAGAATCTGAATCAGGTACATCATTTACTCCAATCAATTTCTATTTGAAAAATGTAAATGGAAGAATTCTACTTAAGAGTCGAAATTGTACTTCCAGGCAATCGAAACCGAACTGCAACCATATGTGGCAAATCTATTTCTATCACGCACACTCCTCGAGAGCATTGTGCCCGCATTCTGTGGCCTCTTCATTGGCGCCTGGTCGGATCACTATGGACGGAAGCCGTTGCTCATCGTCTCAATGATTGGTATATACATATATATATATATATATATCTATATATATATTGTATTAGACTGTAATCGAATACAATTGATACAACAGGTTTCGCTGCATCGTTTCTGGTAACGGCTGCCATTTGTGAGCTGTCCACTTATTATGTGATCAATCCTTGGTGGTATATTGCGGCTGCTGTGCCTCATTCCATACTAGGAGGCAATTGTGTATTCTCTGTGGCGGCCCTTTGTTTTATTTCGGACATAACGGATACCAAATCACGGCCTTATCGGTGGGCAAATAAAGTCGTAGCTTAATCTAGGCCTATACTAATTACAGCCTTTGTAGCATGATCTTCATGGAGGCGCTGTTCCTTATTGGTCTCACGAGTGGCTCTTTGTTGTCCAGTTTTGTTTATGCCGCGACAAATGCGGCGACTACCATTGGCATCTCCGGCTTCATAACCACAATGGGCACACTGTTCGTCATCATCTTTGTGCCGGAGAGTCTGTACATACGGCAGGAGCAGGAGGCCAAGGCGGCGAGCGCTGACGCCGATAAGGGTGAAAAGGATATCCCCATAACGGACTGTGGTCTACGGCCGGCATGCATCTCCATTGACTGCCCGCCCATTTTCATGAATCCCGACGATACGGAGTCGGAGCATAAGAATCCACCATGCCAACAGTTGCCCACACCCCAGACACCGTCGATGACCATCGAAGATGATCTGCTGGCCAAGTATGTGGAGCGACTGCAGCCCAAGTTGAAGGCCAAGGAGCCAGCTCAGTGCAAGCCAGCGACAGATACTACCAAAAAAACTGGCCTGTTCAGCTTTTCACACATCAGAGATATGGTTAACACCTGCACGAAGCCACGTGAGAATCACGCGCGTGCAATTATTTGGCTTGTCACAATGGCCATGTGCCTCTCCATATTTGTTTTCGGTGAGTTGTTATTTGCACACAGTCAGGATGGGGTTTAATGGGGTTCGGCTTCTCTACGCATCTAGATGGTGTCATGACGGTCATGTATTTGTTTGCCCGGGAGAAGTTTCACTGGTCGGTGCGGGATTACACATTCTACGAGACGGTTAGCCATCTGCTGCCCATTGTGGGCGCGCTAATTGGATTTCTGATACTGCGCAAGGTGAGTTTTTGTTCTCTCTAATGCGCAGTTGAGTGGAGGAGCTCAAGCTTTTCTTATATTTTCGGGCAGGTCTTTCGCTTGTCGGTGGTCACGCTGGCGCTGCTGGCGTTCTTCTCGGAAATACTTAAGAATCTCGCAACGGGTTTGTCATCGCAGCCATGGCACATGTATCTATCCGTCGTGCTGGGCACATTCCGTTCCATTGGCGGTCCCATGTGTCGCACCATTGTCTCGAACATAGTGCCAGCCTCAGATTTGGGTAGGTGTTTTTTGTTGCATTCAACAGCTGTTTTTAAGTATAAATTAATGTGTGTTTTTCTTTTTCAGGTAAAATATTCTCAATTAAAAATGTTTTACAATCGTTTGCACCATTCGGTAAGCATGCCTCCCCCTCCCCCTCCACTTCCATTTCCCACTTCGTTTTTAGTCTTTAATTATTGTTAATTGGTTTGTGCTGTAGTTGCCGCACCCCTCTACACTTTCATCTACAAAAAATCGCTGGGATACTATCCGGGTCTGTTCCACTTCGTCAGTTCGGCTCTGTATCTGCTATCATTCATATTTATTGGGTGAGTTGTTTTGACCACTTGGCTTATGAGCTTTGCTAATTGTTTAAATTTGTTCTGCAGATGCGTGCTACGCATTAAGTTCATGCACAAAACGTACTATGCCAAGGTGTTAAAATAGTATCCTCGTTGGCAGTCCCATTCGTGGCTTAGCTTAATATTTATAACAAATTGTTTGTAGTACTTGTGTGATGCCCTATTCTTAGTTATTATATGTATATGTTACGAGTAATAAATGTATAGAAAACAATTTATGTAGCTATAAAATGTACAAAACATTTTCTTAGTATATTTACAGATTTAATATGATTGATATTTACATTTTATTGGTCTCAGCTTGTTATCTGTTTTTGTCTTTGTTATAACTAATAAATATTCCAATAATCACGTGAATATGTGTTGGGTTCATAAATACGTGATGCACATTTATATTGTCGGTTCCTAAGAGCAGTTAAAAATTGACGTAATTCCAAATACATACATGAATACTATCCAAGTGATTTTGAATAAAACATATAATACTTTTTCACCGATTAACAAAGACTGAATCACAATTCGTCCGTTGGCATAAAAAAAGACTTTTTAAACATCACAAAAAGCATGTAAATTGGGTCTATTTGGATTTTTTTTTGTTTGAATTGAACTAAGCCAAACAGGCATGAAATGGTTAGCTGCCAATGACCTTATAGGCGTTGCGACTGGCCATTATTATTTGTAGGCCAAATATGATGCTGTAATGAGAGAATTGTATTTTATATATATGGGTAAACTAAGCGAGATTTTATGATGAACTTACGCCATTAAAATGTAAGATACAAAATATAGACCAGCGCTAATAAAATTGAATGCGCCCGGATAAAAGGCTACAGTTGATTTATAAACAGCCGTGTAAAGCGGCGCAGCTCCCAGTGGAGAAACCATTTCCATTGAGGTCGTTAGGGCAAAGATTTTTCCTAGGTAAAGAAGTTGCATTAGTCTATTATGGATGTGAAATGTATGTTGCGTGTTGCCTACTCACCGACATCCGTTGAGGGCGCCACGACGGAGAGTATAGCACGACACATTGGTCCCAGGACGCCACGCATCGTGCCAAGCGTCATGCCCAGGTACATCTCCCACCAAAATTGGGCAGTAGCACGCACTGTGCTCTCCAGTACACAGGCGGCCAACGCAATGAGTGACATGCCAACGATGGACACCTTGAACAAGCGACGCATCACAAACATTCCACTAACGCTGCCCACAATTTGCACTGCAATGCGAACGGTATTGAATTGAGTGATATCCTTGACGGTCCAATCGAACTGTTCGCGCATGAAGAGCACATTCACTGTGTTCTCGCCCTCCATGTTGAAGATGGAAATGGTGAGTGCCATCATGGTTAGCCAGATGATGGCGCGATCGTAGTTGGCACGCGGCAGGAAGCAGGTGCGAACCAGATCGACGACAAGAGATAAACTGAAGAACTCGCGCACCCAAGATCCTGTGTGTCTGTTCTCCTCTGGCAAGCTCTCGGGCACAAGGAAGTACACATACAAGAGCGCCAGGAGCATGAGACCGGCAGCAATCGCGAAGAGAACCACCTCACCGGTTGCTGCATAAATATAACCGCTGGCGACATTGCCAACCATCATGCCGATGCACACCGATGCCTCATTCAACACCATGCTAAAAATATATGCAAGATGATTTGGATTGAAAGCCAAGAATTTAGTGGGGCTAAAGTTTACCGCAGTGCCTTGCGCTCCTTGGCCACATCCGAGATGTAGCAGTAAACACCAGTAATTAAGGCGCAAGTGCCACCGCTTAATATAGACGGAACCGAAGGCAGCAGGAACCACCAGGGACTGATGTTCTGGAACGTCGTTACTTCCGCTATAGCAGTCAATATCGTTGCACCCGCCACATATCCTGAAGGACGATAAAAAATAGATTATTTTCGACTCTCGAAAGTATCTTCGCCTGTATCAACCTGTAAAAACTGTTAGCAAAATGGGTCGTCGTCCAAATTTATCCGACCAGGGTCCAATGAAGAGGCTCACAAATGCGGGAATAATGCTCTCCAACAGTGAAATTGCCATTGTTATGTTCGTTGAATACGCTTGCACTTTGAGTTCCAGCTTCTGCAAAATGGGTATGATAACAATTAATTAATAACGTCAGAAAGACAACTATTATGATATGCACATTTTATATGACTCATCGCATTATATGTGTTGATTGTTATTTTTCGATAAGTCGAACAAATTAGTCATACATTGATTCGGCAATTACTTTGAAAGTTTACTGTCATTAGCATGATAAGAATTGAGGACTCAAGTTATACTGGTTGTCAATATACTATGTACATGTATGTGTGTAGAATAAATATGCCACGCTTATCTCGCGACTCAAACAATAGATTTGATTTAATGAGGATGCTGATGTGCAGCGAAACACTTCTTAAAGCTAATCGCTGTCATAAATCAATGTATTACTGCAAATATATTAAAAATAGGCCAAACGAAATTTCTGAATGCAACGGCAAAGCATTAATAATAAAGCCCTTCCTCACAGCGATAAAACAAAACAATATAAAATAATAAGCGCGAGATAAACAGCGATCAACGAATAAGCAAGAAAATAAATAAAAAACAAAAATAATTACAGCTAATAAAGTGTATAATATATATATGTATATTATATATGTTATACTGTATATTTTTTAACTCACTTTTGTTTCTTCGGAGCCACGATCGTTGCCCAGCAGCGGCTCACAGTCGCTTGCGTTGTAGTGCATAATGGTTACACATGTTTGGTATAGGATTTGATTTTGAAAAACCGCCCCTAAAAATTGTACATACATTAAATAAATTCAACAAACTTCAATTCAACATCATTTTTCTCACTTACCGAGCAAGCTACGGGCCGTGAATATAAAAAGTACAGCTGGTTCCAATATAAATAACCTGCTGGGCGGACTACTCGAGGCGACACCAGCATCTTCTGTAAGAGCTGGTGCCTCGACATCTGCGTCACCTGCCGTCGAATGGGCGGCATCATGGAGACGTGGCGCCGCATCATGCTCAATCTCCGCTTCGGAGTCGCTAACCAAACGCGCTTCGTCTGATGCGCTCATCTTATTGTTTCGCTTATTGACTTGGTTCGGTTTAACAGCTGTTTGTTTGTTTAAACAAAGGAACTAGCAATTCATTATGCGTCGTTATAATTGCCAATAACGCTATTCTTTTATCGCCACAGTCGTCTGTCCGCGTCGAACTCAGTTCCGTCACTAAACACTATGTTGTTATTTGCAACGATAACAATAATGGAGTGTGGGTATGTGTGTGTGTGCATGTGATTTGTGTAATTTTGCGGAACGGGGCATCTAGCCTGTTGCGCTTAGAATGCTTCCAGCACTAATTAATAATATTTTGCGCACTCTTAACTCTTTTAGCGCTTCCCAAACTTTCTAAAAAAAAATCCAAAGCTTTGCATTGAACAAGGAACAGCTGTTCTTGTTTACCAAGCCATTTTGAGTAAATCGATTGTTTTTTTGAGCAGAATGCAGTGATTCCACTGCTTGCGTTTCGTAAGACGTTCTCACAGACAACTACTTTTGATAACATTTAGTAAATTTATGACTTGAATTAAAACCACTTAATTTTATAATTTTTAAGTATTTATTAAGTTTACAAAACTAGGTATAATTCGTTAGTAACGCCGACGTTCACGCTCATTACGCGAATCTCTTTCACGGTGCTCGTGGCGACCACCACGCTCCCGATCCCGTTCTCGCTCCCTTTCTCGTTCGCGCTCTCGCTCCCGATCTCTATCATCTCTCCCATGTCGCTCCCGTTCCCTGTCACGTTCCCGATCGCGCCTCTCCCGCTCCCCATCCCGTCTATTCTCATTTCGACCCGATTGCCTTCGATCGTAATCGTCATTGTGGCTGTGATTCTGGTTGTCTCTGTTACGCGCCCGATTGCGTTGCCTGTCGTATTCCTCTAGATCGTCGTAGTAGTCGCGAGAGCGTGGATTACTGCTGGGTGCAATGCGTCTGTCCCGGTCTTGACTGCGGGATTTCGATTTAGAGCGACCACGACGGGGTCTCCGCACTAGGGATGATGAACTGTTCTTTGGGCGATTGGATTCTTGATCGTTTGCATCCTTAGCCTCATCCTCGCTGGGCACCTCATCGTCCAGATCCTCATCCAGAACCGATACCTTTGGCTCCAGCTCATTATTCTCCTCGAGAATAGCACGTTTTTGTATGCGCGGCAAAATGATGTCGCAGACGCGATCGTTGCGCAGCAATTCATCAATATATTCATCCATATAGACGATCTCAAACTGCCCAGCTCGATTCTGGCGACGCAACTTGCGATTGTCAATGTAAAGCGGTTCCAGATACTTGTAGCAATCGATGGCGGCGCCGGTTAAACGTAAATAGAATGCGCCCAGGGCACGCACGTATTTGAACTCCTCGTTTTTGATGAACTCCACCACAATGTCCTTCTCCGGCTGTATTTGCAGCATCTTCAGTGTGAGGCAGAGAAACTGGGTTGGTCGAATATTTCCACCGTAGACGCCGCCAACGAAACGAAGCTCCATTGCCTTGTCCACGAGTAGTTCGGCGGTGAGGGCAAAGCATTGCTCCTTCCAGTACTTTGAGTCATAGATGCGAGAGCGGATGATCTTCTCGATGAGATATTGCGGATTGGTGCCGTGCACGTTTTTCGCCTCTTTAACCGTGCGATTTGCCATTTGTGTTTTGTTTTGAGCTGGCGACAAATAGCACCGTTTAGGGTTGCTTGTTGCCAGGGCTGCACGCTGTATATCGGCATCGATAAGTCGGGTTGTGTATGGGTTGCTGTTTGATACATATGTTTCTTTTTTTTGTTGTTTTTTCGATAACACGATGACGCACACTCATCCGTAGACAAAAACACCAGACATCGGGGCTGAGGAAAAACGCAATAGAAAGACTTTAATTAATTGTAGAATTTGTGTGTTGTGTGCGCTTGTGGAAGAGCAGAAAATAAAGAAAACAAGATGAGTTTCTTTGGCAAAATGTTTGGTGGCAAAAAAGAGGTGGCTCCGACGACGGGCGAGGCGATACAAAAGCTGCGAGAAACAGAGAACATGCTGATCAAGAAGCAGGAGTTTCTCGAGTCCAAAATCGAGGAGGAGTTAAATACAGCACGCAAGAATGCATCCAAAAACAAAAGAGGTAGGTGTAATTATATCAGCAGGGATTACCTGAGTGCCCCTAATCAGTAGTCAACGTTATGACTCATTATTTTCGATTGCCTTGCGTTTGTTTTTGTTGTATTAAAGAAAAAAAAATTAAAAAAACACATTTGCCATTGGCTAGTGAGAGAATTTCCAGTAAAAAATCTATATATTTCTTCGCCTCCTTTCTTTATGCGCTCTACACAATTCTGCATCTGCATACCACGCTGGCTTTCCGGACGCTAACCCCATAATAAGAACGTAATATAAACATTGCCTAAATATTAACAAGCTAAAAAATCATAGTGTAATCGTTTTTCAATTGGGCGAGATAACAAAATTTGTCATCACATCTATCTGAGATTCCTTTTGTTTACTTTGTGTGTGCTGCCTTCATTTTCATGCACGCTAATTAATTTGTATCTGCTTTTGACAACGCTTTTGCAGTGGCTTTGCAGGCGCTGAAAAAGAAGAAGCGCCTGGAGAAGCAGCTGCAACAAATCGATGGCACCCTCTCCACGATCGAGATGCAAAGGGAGGCGCTGGAGAGCGCCAACACGAACACTGCTGTTTTGACCACAATGAAGAATGCGGCGGATGCCCTCAAATTCGCACATAAGAACATGTGAGTAGAACTATTAAGTAAAATAAAATGAAAAGAAAATAATCGTTTTCATATTTCAGGGATGTTGACAATGTGCACGATATGATGGATGATATTGCCGAGCAACAGGATGTGGCGCGTGAAATCTCCGATGCCATCTCGAATCCAGTTGCCTTTGGCGCCGATCTGGATGATGAGGATCTCGAGCGGGAACTCGATGAGCTGGAGCAGGAGAACTTTGATAAAGAAATTATTGGCATACCCGAACCGACGCACACGTTGCCAGAGGCGCCGACCGAAGACTTGCCCGAGAAGGCCAAGGAAAAGAAAAAGGCAGTTCCAGCACCAGCAGCTGCCGCTGCCGATGATGGTAAACAAATAAATATATATATATAAATATATCTTAAATAATTATTAAAACATCATATTCAAAATTGCAGATGATCCAGACATGAAGCAATTGCTATCTTGGGCCAATTAGAAAACGCTTATGAAATCTCCGCTCATTGTTTTATTTGCAAAAGAAAATATCTAACCGTAATTATTTCTTGTCATTGAATATTTCGTTACAATTAAGTGAAAAATTTCAGTTGGAAAGCATAAATACAATTTGCAAATTATCATGAGACATACACAACAATATTATGCATAATAAATAGGAACGTGATTTTAAAAATAACAAAAAATATCATACACACACACACACACACACATATGCATAAATATTAACAAATTGAATGCAATTTAATCAACAATTCGAACTAAATATTTTTGCACCAATTCTTGAGAGAGCGCTTTATTTAAATTGTTTGGCAACGCAACGAAAAAGATATTTGAAATAAATGGAAAAAGAAAACATGGCTTTATTTGCAGCAAAAGTAAAAACAAGCTTGAATCTGATAAGCAATTAATGGAGCTCTTTTCGCTCCAGCGATCGGACAGGTTATCACGAGCAGTGCCTTTTTTTTTTTTGATTGAAGACCCCCAATATGCGACATGCATATCAATTAATTAGCCCAGGTGGCCAGTTGGGCCCCATTGTCTGTGTTACATTTGGCTGGGCGGAGGATTGAGTAATACGTCGGCATTGATTGCGACAAAATACAAGAGTGGAAAACACGACACACACACACTACGGACACTCCATCGTTGACAATCCATGCAGTTGGCCGAATTTATTGAAATCAGTTGGATTTCGTGCGAGGAAGGTGCAAGGTGCTGGCCCAGGTCAATTAGCTAAATTCGCAGCTATTCGCAATGTGCAAATACGTCTTAATTGCAATCGCATTAATGGTAAGTGGCCAATTACAGCTACACCATCCAAACACCTAACACACCAGCACCACATTAAAATTGCCCTTGTAGTTGCCGGCGACGTGGTCAACGCTACACGAGGGCTTTGACTTCTCCAATGTGGATCTGGTGAATTTTGAGTATTTCAAGAATTTGGACTCGCAGCATCCACAGCGGGGAGCACAGGCGAATCCGATTATTGTGCACTTTCAGAAGAAGAAAGCCGTCTTGGATTATTTCGAGCGTCTGTTTCTGGGCAACTCACCGTTCCAGCAGCCCAGCGAGATACCCTTTGATCCCCACTTTGGACGCAACTGGCGACCCAACTATGAACATAAATTTGGACGACGAGGCGAGCGTTTAATTGCTGCACTCGGCTCGGGTTATTCGATTCGGCAGCTGCGACACTTTGGAGCCATACCACAGGAATATGGCACACGGCATTATCCCAGTTGAAGTGTGAAAGTATTTACAAAAAAGTGTGTTTGTGATTTGTGTTTTGTTTGTGTATTTATGAAGTAAACTAAGCAAAGTTAAAATTTAATCTAAACTCTGCGTTTCTGTGTGGATATGTAGAGCACATTGTTGCCGCGTATGAAGGCGTCGCCATATTTGTTCTTCAGCTGCCCATTGACGTATTCCTCAGTCTGATCCAGTGCAATATTCATATAGCCATCGAGACAGGCCAAAACACCTGCAAAACAAAAAACCAATTGCCACATAAAAATATGAAATGTTTATCCAGCCGGCAAACAGCCAATTTCTCACCTCTGTAATCAACACCATTATTCAGCTTGACGGCCACCGGGCGGCCGTGAATTTGATTGATAAATTGTGACAGAGCCTCTTTTCGTGACATTTTGTGCGCTTTTACTTTAAATTACACCCAATTCGCAGAAAACTCAAGCAAATTTCAACAAATGCTGCTGGGCTTCTTCTTGTACTAAAGCTATTATCAGCGGTGCATTCACAACATAACATTCACAACAAAAAACAACATGCTGTCGCAGCGCCATCTAGTTTTCAAAAGTGCCAGCCTTTTGGCGCGCACAAATTTAATTTTTAAATGCGTTGATTTAAAAAAATATAAATTAACTACAATGCCAATACAATTATACATAGACTAATGCTGCTCAATGAATGCCCTCCAGTGGTGTATATGTTTTGTATTGGTACAGATCAGGTCCGCCATAGCCATACAATAATTTGCCACGACCATTTTCATCATAATACGGATAGCGATATTTGGGACTGTAAATTCAAAATAATTGTAAAAAGTGTTGTAAGTTGTAAATAAGTTTTATTGGGCTATTAACTATTTACCGTTCGAAGTATTGAAAGTTGGGCGCTCGCGGCTGCACTGTGGCGTCTAATGAAACAATTAGCAAAAATAACTAAGAAAATAAAAATAAAGAGGATATTTGTAATTATTGTGTGAGTAGTTACCAATAAAAAATTAAATAAGGCTGTCTCATTAGTTCAGTGTGTCAGATATCCATCAATATTATAATCAATGCACATGAGCAATTTCGGTTGTTATTGTTGTGTTGCATGAGTTAGGCCAAGTAAAAGCAACAACAACAACGACAACAACGGTTACCGCCTTGGTTATGCAATCCAACAATAAAGCTGCTTTGTTGTTTTGAGATTATGACACATTTGTTGTCTCTTAAATTGGTCAACTGGCAAAGAGAGATATAGAGAGAGAAAGAGAGAGCAGAGAGTGTGCAGCGAGAAAGATAGAGAGCGATAGAGAGAGAGAGAGAGAGGGAGTGCGGAAAAACTTGCTGTGATCGTTGCGGAATTGGGCAATGAGCACAATTTCAAGGTCTAACGACAGAGGGCGCCGCATACATTACAAATTTGGCACGACATCTTTTTCGATACGAAACAACAGCAACAACAACAGCAGCAATAACAGTAGTCGCAACAACGGCGAATTCATTGAGAATTCCAATCACATTTGAGCTGTTGGACACTTTTCTTTTTGGTGCGACTTTCGCGCAGTCGCATGGAAATTGTGTCAGCGCGTTGAACGAACGAGGCAACGTGCGACTTTTGCTTTGGTCATGTTAATTGTTGGGGTCAACAACAATAATAATAACAACAACAATAGCGCAGCGCGCCAAATGACTTACGGGCAGCAGCAGCAGCAATAGCAGCGAATTGAAATTTGCCATGCTCTCCAAATATATATATATTTACAATATTCAACCAATTTTAATGTGCTTATTAGCTGAACACGCCTGCGCACGTTTTCAAAATGTTAACGGTAATTATTGAAGTCGCTGCTAAGCGCGAACTTGCGTTGTTTATCGAGCACACTGTCTTTGGTAACTGAATACCAGTTGAACAAAGCGAACGTTGCAGAGTACGCAAGGCTTAAAAGCTCCCAAGCGAAAGCTCAGCTTAGGTGTCGGGCCTACTTTGAGTGTGTTTATACAGTGAATCTTTTAATGAGCAAAGATTTGCAGCGTCTTAACAGCGTCGCTTACTGAAAGTGAAAGTCCTGCCACTGTTAAATAATAATAAGTAAGCTGTTTCTCCGGGAAAAGTAAGCTGACAGCAGCAGCAGCTGCAGACAAAATTTGCATGCCGGAAATTTTTAAAAGCTCTCTTTGCAAGCGCAACTATTAACTAAATTTTACTATTTGCTTTTTTGTTTTTTTGTGTGGCCCAGTGACGTGAGACGAGGCACGTAGCTTTTTGTGGGCTGGAAAGAGAGTGGGAGAGAGAGAGTGGGAGTGTGCTTAAGAGAGCGGCGTCACCGCACAGCTGTTGAAGTGCAGCGCAGCAGCGCAAAAACTTGGAATTGAGGCCAAATTACTAAAGCGCTGTCTTTGGCTTTCTGGTTTGCTGCCTCGTCGAGTGGATGACGATCTCATCATGATGATCATTCGTAATGATGATGACCAGGCCATTATGTAACTTCTGCAACAATAATACGCCCAACCAGTTTGAGTTTGTCTTTTTTTGTTGTTTGTTTTTCGCTGTTGTCTCTCTTTTCATCTTGTACCATTTTCTATGGAAGTCTTGCGCACTTTCTTTGCAGCTCCTCGATTTAATTGCACTGATTTTTGTTGGTTTATAAGACAGGTGCCAGTAACCTTTATCCGCAATTTAGTTCCGTCTGCCTTGAACACAAGTTTGGCTAAGCCATTAAAACGTGACATTTAAGCGCACTCAAATGATGAACATTTAATGAGGGCACTCGAGGCCTGAACCTCAAGGTCGTGCTTAAAGCTAGAGTTCAATTTACGTGGAGATTTCTTTATTGCTGTGCCCATTAACTAGGTCATCTAAATAGGAACTGCTCTTTTTTCGAATGTAATGAAATTAAGCGGCGTTTATTTGTGGCTTCATATTTTATTGAATAATTATTTATACGACTCTTTCTTCCTCTCTCTCTCTTTCTCTCTCTCTCTCTGTCTCTGTGTCTCTGTCTCTCAATTTGGTCGTTTGTTATTCGCATAACTCATTAAATTATCGTCGTTTGTTTTGTCTGCCGAACAAGAAATACTCGTAGTATTTCAGTTTTTCTCGATATTTTTTTTCTGGTGGCGCTTGGCTGCGCTTTATGCACCTGTGCGGTTTTTTTAAACTTTAGTTTCGGTTTTAGTGATCGATGGTCTAGTAACTCGGACGGGCAGCGCTCCACGAAACGTCGTAAAAACCTATCGAAAATGTTGCAAATGAGATTTTTGTTTTTGTTTGCCGTAAGTGAGAAAGTTCCATAAATTTGCCAGACGAGGCAAGAGATGTGTGCGAAGCTGTAAAACATTTGTGCAAAATATTTAAGCCATAACTCAATTCATCCAAATCGAAAGTTAACTCAAGCGACATATCAACAAAGTGTTGCAACATTCAAAGCGACAATGTGTCAAAGGTCATGAGTTGTGTTTACTCGTCTGTATAATTCATAAATAAAGCATTACCTTGATTCCCTTGTGCGAGTGCATGAAATTAGCGGAACAAAACGGCTACTTAAGATTTGGACAAAGCAAAACACATAAAAAAATCGCCCTAAATTTTGGTAAATCGAAATACTTTTCGCAATCGTTAGTCACCCTATTATTCAGAATGTAAATTTCTAAAATGTATCCTTGTGGACTTCTTTAAGTTGGGGCTTGCAAGAAAATTCAAAATTCCAGTGTGGATTTTCTGAAATAAAAAAAAATTAATTTTTTGGATTTCCAGAGTTGTTTTTAATGGCACTGAAGAATTCTTATATAAGACATTTTTTACTTATTTTATTTTAAGACATTTTGTTATTATTTTTTTATTTCTAGACTTCACATATACATAAATATATATTAAATAAATAAATAAAATGACTGAGCCACAGCTAATAATTGAAAATATTAAAAAAATAATAATAATATAGTAATATTATCAAAAAATCGACATATTTTTGGAATCATCTGTTTGGGACAAGCCTTTCTAATTTTTAGAAATTACTTTTCAAATATTTAGAAATTATATTGAATTCTCATTTTTAGACATGTTTTTCTTATATTTAGAAATTATTTCTAAAACTATAGAAAAACTTTATATTTTTAAAGGCGATTTACTAAAATTAATGACGATTTTTTGTTAGTTTATGGCAGTAACTTTAGATCTCTCTTTCTCTCCTTATATCACTGTCTCTTTCTCTCTCTCTCTCTCTCTCTCTCTCTCTCTCTCTCTCTCTCTATAGTGTACCGCTCTGCTGTTGGGCAGTCAGCAAATTGATGGATTTATTCTGCGTCTTATCAGCGAGACGCTGCAGAATAATGTGGCCGGCGAGCCCATAACTCATCAGCGCACCGAATGGAACTTTGATCCGGAGGCGGCGAAAAGAGCTCGTTCCATTTACTATGAGGTCTGATTTAGTTTACGGTCAGTTATATATAACTTGTACTTATTATTATATTGTATTTGAGCAGAAAAACGGTTATCGTTCAGCGAAATTCATCGAACGAATTGGCGTGGGTCTGGACGGACATCACGAGGAGCGGCGACAGGAGCAGGCGGAACGGGATGTGGGGCGTCTGAATGGTGAACATTTTATCAACTACCCAGCAGCTTAGTTCATAAAATACTATTTAAATATACGTTATATTGGCGGGTAGAGGGGTAGAGATGGGGCATATAAATCCTTGTGGAATATCTAGCGCATTGTCATCATTTTAATTTGCAGCGATTAATTGTCATTAATGTGCTTCACAAGGATTTGCGTAATTTGCCAACGTTACACATATGCAATGATGCCTCATTCAACATGCCAGGCTTATTGTTAATGGCTCTTCAGAGAGAGCGGGTGGAGAAGTGTTCTGGCTGTGGGAGATGATGCTGCTGCCTCGTGTTGTTGTGGTTTTAATAAACGTTATTAGCGACGGCAACAACTGCGAATGCAAATTGCGGCAATTACATTTTCGCCAAAGCGAAAGCAACAGTAACAGCAAAAGCGACTACTTACTTTCGTAATTTCATAATGCTGCACATAATTGAAGCCAATTTTGCGCCGGCTGCCAGGCTCTGGTCTCTGTAATCAGGACAATACCAATAAGTAGGCTACAATAAATTGCACACAAATCGTGCAGGTGATTCTGGCTATAAATTTGTGTGTTGAAATTAAGGCAAAGAAATAAAATTACCTAATAAACAAAAATGTAATTGAATAAATAAATAATACAATATTACCAAGTATACATATTAAATAAATAAAGTGCAAATACAATTTATTTTCATAGTTAGCCTAAAAATAGGCAATGAAAGATCATGTAAATCCATAATAGCATTTAATTGAAATTAACGCTTCAAATAAAATTATGAAACTTTTAATTAATGTACAACCGTTGAAAGTGAAAGCGGGATTAGCACACAGAATTGGCAAAATTAACTCATATTTAACTTTATAAGAACTTCAATTAAAAAGTAAATATTTGCAACAAGCCTAAAAGTAGGCAATGAAAAATACAAAATAAGCAGAGCAAATGAATCCATAATTAAGGAATTAAGGGCTTTAACTAAATGTAGAAAACGTTCAATAGATGTTCATCCGTTTAAATTGAAAACGAGAACAGCTCATTGCATTGGCGGGATTAAGTGCACAATGTCAATGAGCAGCTGCATCGGAAATTAACTGGCATGCATGCTGCCAAACTGCAGCAGATAAATAAAATTACGCACAAAATGTGCTTGACGAAAGGCGACCGAGGGACGAGGGACGAGGAACGAGGAACGAGCAACTGAACTTGCAACTGGTGAATTGCAAGCGGAAATTCATAACGGAAATTACATTACAAGTGTATGTGTGTGTGTACGAGACGGGTGTGAGGGGGAAAACCGCTTGGCCGCACATGCGGCGTATGCGTAATGCAACAAGCCGCAACGATAACACCATAAAATTGTTTAATAAATTGTTAATACCACGTTGTAAATAATTTCATCGATAAGGAACAGCGTGGGAACTGTGAGCAGCGAGCGCAGTTGTTGTCCCGTTTATGACACTAATTTAATACAAAATCAAACAGGCAGCGATAACACAGGCAGAGAGTGAGTTGAGTTTTATTATTAAAGCCAAATATGTGTAATACAATCATAATGGAGGTTTTTGTTATTGTTGGTCATTAGCCTTATCGACAGCAACATCAAATAAAATATTTAATAAAAACAAAAGGTGAAAAAAGAGTAGACCTTGCTCTTGTTGCTCTTGTTGTGGTTGTTGTGGTTGTTGTTGTGCTATCGCATCTGGCTTATCAGCTGGTTTCAATCAATTGTCCCGTAGTTGGGTATTAGCTTTCATTTTGTGTCGATTCTCCTGACATCAATTGCTGTGAAAGCGGATTATTTGTCATAAAAAAACACAGATACAGCAAATTTATATAAATGTTGCGCGCCTTTAGGCGCTCTTCAAGTGTGGGCTTGGATTGGTTGTGGGGTGTGTTTGGGGTGGCAATAGATGTGAGGTTGAGGTTTGTGGCACACGCAACGGTTGCATGCGTGCTGGTATTATTGGTATCTCATATCATTAGCTTGTTATTTGAATTGGTTCTTTCATTGTGGCAATGTACGCAAATGGATATGTCTACAGATCTAAAAATAGACTTAAATCAACAGTTTAAAAAATAATGTTTTTTTTTATGATTATGTGCATAGAGAAAAATTACTAATTTAAGTTACGAATATATTTTAAAAGTGCACAAATGGTAAAAATGTATCTATGTAAGATAAATAATGAAAATGAATAGGGAATCAATAATATATTTTTAGCTCAAGTCGGGTAATTCTAGAAAGAAGCAACTTTAATCAATTTATTATTTTCTTATCTTTTATATCTTGCACATCTAAATTTGTACTTAAAATTCGAGAAGGTCAACAGTTTCACAATGACAAATTCTTTAAACAGGGTTAACAGTTAACAGAACTTTTCCTGTGTTGCTTGCACAGAAAATTTGGACATCTATATGTAAGCATATTTATGTATTTGTATATCTATTCAATTCAGCAATTCAATTCAACATAATATCAGCTATAAGCCATACACACTAAATTATGCGGTGACCCCATGATATGTTGTTTATGTTTATTGTGATATTTAAATAATGTTTCATATGAATTGAAAATCGGCTAGACATCGCATTAGTCCACATGCCCATACAATTCTCAAATCAAAGTAAAATGTGCAGTGAAAAGTGGGAAGGGGTCTGAGATTGTGTGTGTGTGTGTGTAATGGGTGTATGGGCATTATGAAAGTGGCTATTAAAAGCATTCTCAGCATTGCCAGTTTTGGTTTCTGATTGGGCACAGCACCTGATGGCTGGGGCCAAAGTTGAATTTCTTAATGCATTTCCGTAGCGCAATTGAAGTCAAACTCAAGCGAAGGCCGAAGGACTCACTGCAGGCGACTGCTAATGTACAGCAGGAGCAGCAGCATTAAAAAAATGTCCTGCATGTAAGTGAAGGCAGCGTTGAACAAAATCAACGTTGTTGGCTTTTTATGTTATGCATTAGCCTGTGCACAAAATGTAATTTATAAAATGTAATATAATATCAACAGCATGCACACACACACACACACACACACACACACACACACTTTCATAGGGAGTGGAGCACAGTCGAGGCACAGTCCACAAACAATGCCACAAACACAGCCATAATGTCAACTGGCTTTTGTCCTTGTGGTTGAAGCCGGCGACCCGCTGTTGTTGCGATACCCTGTACACTGAAAACTTTGAAAATGGATAAGCATCGGTTCAATGAAAAGTATGTTACACGGAGCAGAAAGCAGAAAAGGCCAAGTCTTAGTTTAGCCATGTCCGCCAGTCTGTCGGTCGATCCACGAGAGCTGCAGACTTCAAATTGGGAATATATTTGCTCATCAGCAATATTGAATATTTTAAACAGTCACTTTTTAGACGATTTGACGACTCTAAATAAATGTATTGTATGTTTAGTCGTTCAGGGTATCTGCTGTCTCTCATTCTACTGTTGCTGCTGCTGCTGCTGCTGCGGCTTTTGCTCCTTGAGCTACTCTTTCCGCTGCATTTATTTTATTTCATTATAAAATGAGCAAAGCTGGCTATGTCTCTCTCTCTCTCTCTCTCTCTCTCGCTCTCTCTCTCTCTCTCTCTCTCTATCTCTCTCTCTTTCTCTGTCGCTGCGGGCGTCCCACGCGACATAGCCTTGTGCCTTTTTTATTTGAGCGTAATTACAATCCTAGCAGTCCAATTTTAATCATTATCATTGCGCCCGCATCTGCCACTGACAGTCAGTTAGTTCTTTTCTTTTTTTTCGCTTTGTTTCACCCACGTAATTTGTATTCAAGCAATTAGATTTCAGCCACAGAGTGAATATCACATAATATGTATATACATATATAGATATCTATATATACACTATGCCTTTACCTGAATGTGAGCTGTTCAATGGCAAATTCATTGAATGTGTTCGGCGACTGGGTCCTTTGGGTACTTGCAAATATGCCATCGTCCTCGACTAATGCACTGTGCAAACTTTGTAGCCAGTTAGCTGTGCGCTGTTGTCGTTGTCGTTGTCGTTGTTTGTTTATTGTTGATTTCTTGGCATTGTTAAGCATATTAGGCATATGCATTACTTACAATGTAAACGCTTGGAGCTAGGCTAAGTTAAAAGGCTTATGTGTTCATATTTTTAAAGATATGCATCGATTGAGTTTGCAGATTGCTTGCTACTGGTTCTGGCAAGCTAAGCAACTGCTTACAGCAGGTTTTCAGCAGATAAGCAGCTGAAACTCTTTATTAAAAATCAAAATCAATGGGAAACTCAAGAACATCTTCAAAGCCAACAAGAAATGCAAATTTATTAGCGTATTCATCATTTGTGACTCGTTTGGGGATTCACCTTCTGCGAATAAGCACATTTTATTAGCAGGCAAGTATCTACTGCAAATTATAGTCATCATTTGAGAAGTCATTGCAACATTTCCGTTTCCCCATCCTCTCTCAACGCACACTCAACATTTTTGCACTCGAATTCACTTGATTACAAAGTAATTTATTGGAAAAACAGGCGACCAAGCAGCAGCAACAAAAACAACGACAACGACAACAACAACAGTAGCTAGACATACACACACACACACACACACACACACACATACAGCCATACAAACACATACACTGAGATTTGTCTCAATGGCGCCCAAGTTGGTCTATTCCGTCGGTTACGTTTATCCGTTGTGCATACGAAATGCGGCAAATCCCAAAAATCAACAAACAAATGAAAAGAAAATTCAATAAAATACGTTAAGGCCAAAAAAGAAAAAGCCAAAGAAGTGAAGAGCAAAGAAACGAGCGCAAACTCTTAGCCAGTAGAGAGTGGAGGGTAGAGAGTGAGAGAGAGAGAGAGAGAGAGAGAGAGAGAGAGATGGAGAGAGCGAGAGCGAGAAGAGGTTTAGCTGGGAAAAAAGTTGTGGCGAAAACTAATTACAGCCAAGCTGAAATTGCGACTTCCAAGTGGGCGTGTGTTGCGTATACGCCCCATTTACACCAAGTGTTGTCGTCCCCTCCCCTCGACCCTCTCCCTCTCCATCGCTCGTTGACTTTCTTTTTTTCTTTTTTCGAGCTGTGTTTTTTTTTTGCACACTGCGTAAGGCGCATTTAATTGCGTATGCGTTGCGTGTCCTTTCAAAGTAAATGCCAGAAACTCCCACACATTGAATTAGCGTCCTCCATT